TGGGCAACATATATTGACAAAATATTTTTAAAGTTTACGCTGAGGCTTATCTCTTAGCAAAAATAAGTCAAACAATAGTGGTGCAGTCCATTTAGAGAAATAGGGATGAAACTGAGTTCCCAATGTGCCTACAGTAATTTCTGTAGGCACAATGGGATGTAGGCACTGTGAGATGTAGGCACAGTGGGGTGTAGGCACAGTGGGGTGTAGGCACAATATGTAGGCACTGTGAGATGTAGGCACAGTGGGGTGTAGGCACAGTGGGGTGTAGGCACAATAGGGTGTAGGCACAATAGGATGTAGGCAGAATATGTAGGCACTGTGAGATGTAGGCACAGTGGGGTGTAGGCACAGTGGGGTGTAGGCACAATGGGATGTAGGCACAATATGTAGGCACTGTGAGATGTAGGCACAGTGGGGTGTAGGCACAATAGGATGTAGGCAGAATGGGATGTGGGGTGTAGGCACAGTGGGGTGTAGGCAGAATGGGATGTAGGCACAATGGGATGTAGGCACAATGAGATGTAGGCACAGTGGGATGTAGGCACAATGGGATGTAGGCAGAATGGCATGTAGGCACAATGGGATGTAGGCACAGTGGGATGTAGGCACAGTGGGATGTAGGCACAATGGGATGTAGGCACAATGGCATGTAGGCACAATGGGATGTAGGCACAATGGGATGTAGGCACAATGGGATTGAACCCTTGTATGTACCTCATGGAATCCCCTGTCATTATTCCTTGGCTGATGGTGAATTACACTTGTTTGACTCTACATCAGAAAGGAAGACTAACTGCTTGCATAGTTTGTTGAAATGTGTTTAAAAATAATGAATTTCTCAACAACAACAAAATATTTCCAAGTGGCATCTTTGACATATGAAGTCTGGTCGTAGACACAAATCAGCCAGCAAGTCTGCAACAGGCTGGGCAAGTCAGCACCAGTGGAATGACAGGCACCTCATTACAGGGTTCACATCTCAAGCTGTAGTCTATCATCTGGAGATGGTCGGGGGATTCCTCCATCTGTCCAGATAAAGGTGTATTCTAGGAATCCCATCATGCCATATCAAAGATACCAAGGACTGTATCACCCTCCACCCATCTATGGCTGTTAAACTTTAAACTGGCTTTTGAAAAATGTAACCGATATATACTTTACTTGTAACTGAAATGGAGATAAGATTTTTTTTGTTGAAGTTTGTGTTTTTCTGTCAAAATGCGGTCAGTCTGCTTTGGTGTTTAGTGGAGTTAATTTAAGCATGTAGAGTTATCTCCCTTCAACTTTATGGATGAAATTGTATCATGAAATTATGGGCCTTCATTTGTGCTGCTTGTGATATGATACCAGATCAGGGTGCCATTGCACAAAACAACCTAAGTCTATGCTAAGGTATGGGAGTTACGATCACCTTACCGCTAAGATCGTTTTGTACATCGGCATCCAGATCTTAACACTGATTTTTCACCTTATCTGAAAGGTGATATTTACAGTTTTTTTCTGGCATTTGTTTCACAATAGGAAGACCTTTCAATTGCTTAAATAGTGCATCAAGAAAAAGGTGAATTTTAGAAGAGATACTTCTTTAAATCCTTCCATAGATAAAAAAAACATCTTCCGTGGTCTAGCGGTAGAACATCCGCCCGGAGAGCGGAAAGTCTGGGGTTCAATCCCCGTCCACATCATACCAAAAGAAGTTAAAAAGATGGCACTTGTTGTAACCCTGTCTGGCACTCGGCATTAAGGGGCTAAAACAAGGAGTGGTCGGAATCAGTATACTATGTCTGAGTGGGGTATTCGTGTTAAACTGCAGCACGGTATCTCAGTGGGCTAGCACTATAAATCAGTGTCCGGACTAGTACAAACAGGCACACACACACATGTGCATGCACGTCACTATTTTAGTGCATTAATCTTGGATGTGACCTTAAACCCCTTTTCACCTGACCCTACCATAGATAAACAAGGGAAGACAAATGATGTAAATCACCTGAAGAATTTTCAGTCATGGGGGCACCTGCTTCCACATTGTCATCAATCTCATGATCTCATGATCCCATGAATCCCATTCCATGCAGGAATGGACCGCCTCCGTGGTCTAGTGGTAGAGCATCCGCCCGGAGAGCGGAAGGTCCGGAGTTCGATCCCCGGCCGCGTCATACCAAAAGACGTTAAAAGATGGTACTTGTTGTTAATCTGTCTGGCGCTCGGCATTAAGGGGCTAAAACAAGGACTGGTCGGCTCGGAGTCAGTATACTGTGTCTGAGTGGGGTATTCATGTTAAACTGCGGCATGGTATCTCAGTGAGCTAGCACTATAAATCGGCATCAGTCCGGTCTAGTACAAGCAGCCACACACACACACACGTACATGCACGTCGCTATATAAGTGCAATAATCGTGGATGTGACGTTAAACTCCATTTCACCTCACCTCACCTCACCATGAAGGAATGATAGAAATATGATTTGTAATACATACACGGGTGTTTTCATATTTAGTTTATGTGCAAATCACAAAATATTATTAACTGGTTATAAAGAAATAATTGTGAAGAAATTCCAACCGATTCCCAATGTTGCATGAATATCAGTTCCGATGTATACATTACTAATGTTTAACAAGAGACACAAATATTTAATCATCTTCATGCTGGAAGTTCTGTGAAGCCCCATGCTGTTGTATGCACCATGGTTCATTTCGATCTCTCACTCTAACCCTGATTCGCAGACCCTCAGCACACTTAACACACAAAGGCCCCGTTTTTTCCTCACACTTGCTGACAAAGTGACTTCTCAGATGTGACTTCGCTGCACAAATTCAAAATGATTAAATTGTATCCCTCTCACAAACGTGACTTCTTTTTTTCTTATCTTATAATTGGATAAAACTGGATGGATTACCCATCATATTTAAGTGCAAGGTGATATTTGCTTTAAATTATTCTCTTTTACAAATAAAAGTTGAACAAATCTTAAATTGGCAAGAAAAAATCGCTGATTTTATCATTGTATGCAGCTGTGAACATGACCTTTGTGACCATGACCTTTATGATTCAGCACTTGGCTCAGGTCATGTCACAATGTCCTTATCGTGTGATTGATTGTCTGCCGGCCCAAGGGAAGATGGAGATAATTATCACTTGATGCACACATCCTTTCATGCTCGTTATTCTCAACAGATGGTACTGTGAATACACAATACTAGGATGGAATACTGAAATAATTTCCAGTAATTATCGCCTTAATATTGTGTCTGAGGCATTCAGAAGAGCTATATTGCCATAATTAGAGCAATTTGTTTTTCATTCGAGACGAAGATGTGACAACATCTGTATCAAGTTGTGTCTTAAGGTACAACTGATGGCAGTAATTATATTAAACCTTTTGTATGTAGGAGACTACTTGCATTTTTAATAAAAGTAGCATTTCTGTGACACAAATTATTTTCATTTTTTTGTGAGTCATTTTTCTTTTAAAAGATTTTAATCAATAATCATTAGTTGAAAGCTTGGCTTTTTTCTTTAAAGCCTTTTTTGAGAGTGTTTTATATTTGTTTTTGTGTAAAATAGTTATTTTGAACCTGAAAAGAGGTACGATTAATATCAAAGTTGCAAGACATATCAGTTGGACAGAATCACAAATAACTGACCACATCATGGTAGGTGTGAAGGTGAAAACAGTTCTGAGGCTGGTACAATGTATTTAACGTTTTATTTATTTTCTTTGTTCATATGTAAAGGGACAGAAGGAAATTAAAAAAAATGTCGTTGTTGATAAGTCTTCCTGTCAGTTTCTGCAATGGTTTTCTGTTTTCTGACTATTCCCGGACTACGAGGCAGCCCCGTGGTTATGGCGTTCGCTCATCACGCCGAAACCCTGACTTGGTTGATGTATGTTATTTCATCCCAATTGCGTAGATCGATGCTCATGATGTCAATCACAGGATTGTCTGGACCAGATTTGATTATTTGGAATATTGCTGAGTGTGTCATTAAACAATGAACAAACTCAAAACTGTTATTTATTATGTATGGTAGTCATATGATTTTTATGGAGTTGGTCAATAAGGTAAATGGTTTTGTGAACATTTTTGTGAAATATGAAGACAGATTTTAAGTCAGAATGTGTATGAAATTGTATCAACTTTTAACTAGGGGTAAAACACTCCTCCTCTGTCTATGTTTTGGTAGAAACAGTGAAATCTGAGTGAAACCTGAGGGAAGCAGTGACCAAGCTGGTTTCACTTTGTCATCCAAAACCAAGGAAAAATGTTTTATCTGACTTTTGTTTACTGTTATGACAGTCTAAAGAAACACTCATAAAATATTTCTGGCCAGGGAATATATGCTAAACTTGGTACCTTCTGATGAACCACCTAGCTTCAACCAGGTCTGCAGTCTAATGGCTAGAGTGTCAGCTTGCTTGTTGTGCGTCTGATTGCCATCATCCATTATGAAAAGGTTTCAGTTCTTTTCTTCGATTTTAGAACAATGGATGTTTGAAACACCAAGTCTAAACTTCATCTGCTATCAACTCATGAGGTCTTTTTTTTTTTTGAAACAAGTAAACGTCATACCTGGTCTTACCAGGAAACAATAAAACCTCCTACAAGGTTATTGCTAGTCTGTCTTACAGACCCTGATACAAATATATATCAAATACAGCCCATGCAAGTCCATAATGTTTGGCAAGTCTACATTACTGCAGTATCAGGAAATGAAGAGAGTCATTGGGCTCCCTTTTATTATATTTTTATTAAGATAACTGAACAACTGTTTTTTTCTGTACGATATGTTCATTTCAGAGACTAGATGTTAGTATAGGTTATTGCTAAAAAACAAGTACTATTTAAAACAATTATCAATATCGGTGATAGGTTTTTAGGAATGAAAGAAAGCCGGCTATGGACTTGAAATCAAATTCAGGCATGAATGGCATCATTGAAGATTGACTAGATGAATGAAATGACCTAATGAACTGTCATGTTGTTTTCCAGGACATCATTCGGTTGGTGGTTGGTCGTCTAGCGGCGGGGGACCGTTACTTCTCCAAATGTTTTGCGGTGAAGCTGGTTCATACCCAGAGCCGGGAGAACTACTGGCTCCACAACGACCTGACCATGTATCAGGTGCGGCAGAAGTACGAGGCCAGGCACTTACCAGAAGAGTGGAGGTTGGTAGGATCTATGTTACCCAATACCGATGTACTCACTGCATCCCTGGAGGCCCCCACAACCTACCCAACTCCAAAAACATTTCTCCCTCACCTGGCCGTGGGCCATTCCACAAAGTCATCTTGGCCCTATGACTAACGTAACTCCCATGCTTTAAGACACTTTTGATGATTGTAGATTGTAGATTTGTCATTTGTCACTTTGGGCAATTCCATCCATAGAACAATAAAAAAATTCCTTGGTATCTCAACTAGGGCTGGGATGGGTAACTCGGGTACCTGAGTCGGGTGGGTACTGAGTAGGACCCGGGTACCCACAGGACTACCCGGACCTGTGGTTAGCCACGTGATATATTGTTTAATGACAAAAAGGTATCTAGAACTCTATGGTTACACTACAAGTCACAAAAGTTTGCATTCCTTCTGACTTTTCATATCTTTGAATAATGATATAACTTGAGTCAACTTCAGTGTATGCATGACCAGATTGTTTAGTACATGTATCTAAATACGTTTTGCCAGTGCTATCATAACTAAATGCCCAATTGGACATTTTGTACCGATCTCTTGAGACCTACAGTGGTAGGGTCGGGTAATAGGGGGTTGGGTACACGGGTAGTAAATTCGGACTCGTCCCAGCCCTAATCTCAACCTAACCATTTAATAAGAATTAGACTAGACAGGTTCACAAAATGCATCATTGTAGGGTTTTGACTGTTCTGATTGAATACTCTGCACGGACAGCCATGATTCACGCAATCCGACAATCAGGGACACATTTCATGGATTCATAACACCAAAACTGTTCCTGCAGAAAGCGGACGTAACGGACATGTTGTGTGTAAATGCATTTTGATTAGAGCATATCCCAAGCTCACATGAAAAGCTCATTTTCCCCTGTGTCTTAATAGGAATTTGATGATAATTAACCATCAAGATCCATGCTTTAGAATTGCCTTTGAGATAAATTTGTTTTTATTTCTCCCATGTGAATGCATCTTGAAAAACGAATTTTTCATGAAAACAGTACTCTGGACTGAGTGTGATAAGTGATATGAAAACTCAAACAGAAATAGCATGATTCATGCATAATTGTATTTGTGTAGTAAAGATAAACACTGGAGCTCTGGTTCATTGCTAGATTATGTTGTAAAATGAACAAGCTTCGGTTTATTTATGAAAATCAGGAACAATGTGACGTATTGTTGGTCTTAAACTCAATACTTCCCAGTTCATGCATGTATTAATACAGAGTTCTTCAGATCGTATTGTAGGATATCTCTCGTATACCATGGATAAAATAAGTGGCTTAATCACATTGGTCACGATTCAAACATTGGGAATTTGTTTCATGTAAAAGATACTGCATTTGGGGATAATATAAACTGGCAATGTCATTCAGGCTGATGAAAGTTATAGATTTTGTTGGTTTTAATACTTCCCTGCATGACAGAAGTAACGCTGTGTAAATATGAAAGTGTTAAGTGACAATATGTTTACTTTGCTTGAGAGCTGTGAAAGTTTCTTTTTCCTAAAATTTACTGATGGAAATATATGAATACAGCCTAATAGGACAGAAGATTACTTACTGTTGCGTTCAGTTTGAATGGATTCACACCAACAATATACAGCCATGAAGATCCAAGTAGAGAAAAGGCCTTCAGCAACCCATGCTTGTCGTAAGAGGCGACTAATGGTCAGGCTCGCTGACTTGGTTGATGCATGCAATCATATCCCAGTCGCGTGGATTGTTGCTCATGATGTCAATCACTGGATTGTCTGGTCCAAACGTGATTTTTTACAGACAGCCGTCATATAGCTGGAACATTGCTGAGTGCGGCGTTAAACAACAAACAATATAAGAAATCTGGTATGAAATCTGGTATCTGCTATTATCTGGTGTGCTCGTTACATTCACCCATTCTTGGTGTCCCCTGATGTGATATTGCTGGAATATGCTAAAAGTTGCATAAAATCATGATCACATACTCTTGTATATGACATACCATTGGGGATATGTGTTAGAATTGGCCCCCAGAAATCGGGTCGGTTAGCCTAGTGGTTAAAGCGTTCGCTCGTCACGCCGAGACCCGGGCTCGATTCCCAAAATGGTTACAATGTGTGAAGCCCATTTCTGGTGTCCCCTGCCGTGATATTGCCGGAATATTGCTAAAAGCGGCGTAAAACTACACTCACTCACTCACTTACTCACTCACTTACTCACTCACTTACTCACTCACTTACTCACTCACTCACTACGCTGGTCGTAAGAGGAAACCAAACGGATCCGGTGGTCCGACTCAAAGCTTGGTTGAAAGTGTGTCCTGGTACCCGACAGCTTGGATCATTGTTAACAATGTCTATCACCGGATTGTCTTGTCTAGACCTGACCCCAGTCATCTAGACAGAATATAGCAACACCCAACAAAGCAACAAATTTCAGTGAAGTACACTCTGCTCTTCATTCCCTCTTCATACAACGACTGCAGCAGTGACATACAAACTTCTGTCTTAGGCAGCCATTTTCCCTCCACAGCCTTTGAAGGTGTCTCTCCTGATTTTTCTACGAACACAACAAAATGTGCCATATCAATGCACATGCTTTTCCAGAAATGAATATTGTATGTTTTCGTAAACTTATATACACATTTTATGAAAATACAACAGCAAGTCCTAAACATGAATCACCTGGGGAATGGCTGCATGGAGTCATTACCTTGTTGCTCTTCAGATTTACAGGCAGTCGGCCAAGCAAAGCAGACTCCTCCCTCATGGATACAAATGAGGGGGATTTCATATGGCTGTTGCACATGGTCATGTCAGGGTACCCCTTGTATATAGGGCGATATGGGTAGATCAAATGGCTGTTGCACATGGTCGTGTCAGGGTACCCCTTGTATATAGGGCGATATGGGTAGATCATATGGCTGTTGCACATGCTGTTGATTTAGAGTTGCCCTAATACTAATCTATATGGGGCGATATGGTATATATCATATGGCTGTTGCAAATGCTGTTGTTTTGGGGTACCCCTTCAAAGAGACATACAGGGAGATAATGGTTTTATCACATTGCTGTTGCACATCTTGTGTTGGAGTATTCCTCACATGAAGGGCATAGGTAGATAAGGGCTTTTATCACATGGCTTTTATCACATGGCTAATGTACATGCTCGTGTGTCAGGCAAGACTTGAGACATAGATGGGAAGGACTATGTCATATGGCTACTGCACATATATCAGTGTCATGGCACCCTGAGACTGGGAAGGATGGTCAAAGAGTTGGGGTTTTCACTGAATAAGTGATTAGGGTTTGACAACTGGACCTGTAAGATAGTGAACTTGAGGAAAGGAACAAGGGAGACTGCACTGGGATGGAGAAAAGATGTATGTTTGTTTGTTGTTCATCACCACATGGCGGTCTGTAAATAATCAAGTCTGGACCAGACAATCTAGTGATTGACATCATGAACATCGATCCACGCAATTGGGATACAATGACATGCATCGAGCCTGACCACCCAATTCCATTAGTCGCCTCTTACGACAAGCATTGTCGCCTTTTACGGCAAGCATGGGTTACTGAAGACCGATTCTATACTGTATCTTCACGGGTAGGGAAGATGTATGGCAAGAAAGGACTGAAGAAGGGAAACTACACACAACATCATCTATCAGGCACATTTTGAAAACCATTCTTCCTGATCATGAGAGCATATCAGCAAGTTCTTTTGCCCATGGTCGTCAGTTAAATTTGAAGCTTTATTCCTTAATAAAAGTGATCAAATTCATAGTGAGAATTTCCACAAACTTCGACATCTAGGAGCAATGCAGGACAAGTTCAAAATCAAAGTATACCTCTGTGATGTAAAAGGTAGAGCTCCTCAAATAGCCCTCGCCTAATTACGTCTTAGCTGTCACCGGCTTGAAATAGAAAGAGGCAGACATGTTAAGACACCGTCAAACCAAAGAATGTGCAAACTTTGCTGTCTAAACAAGTTAGAAGATGAAGCCCATTTTTATTACACTGTACAGTATATTCTGCTAAAAGAATCTTCTATTAAATGACATAATTCCAGAAAACAAGACTATGTATATTTATACACAGATGCTGTCCCTTATTCTTAATCCAGAGTCAGACCACGCCAAAGGTGTGGGTGGTGGAGGTGAGGAAAGGGGGACCCAGGGAGGATCACGGGAGGGGTACAGGTGTCGGGGGTAGAGGTGGGGAATGGAGGTGGGGGGGGGGGGATCATGTGAGGGGTATAGATGTGGGAGGTAGAGGGGAGGAAAGGGGGTACGCAGGGAGGATCATGATATGGGTACAGGTGTGGGAGGTAGAGGTGAGGAAGGGGGAACCCAGGGAGGATCACGGGAGGGGTACAGGTGTGGGAGGCAGAGGTGTGAGGAATGGTGGGCCAGCTGGCTGGAGGAAGTAGATGGAGTGTAGCATGGAGCATGCAGGGTTATCAGTCAGTGGAGAATACATAGACCAGAAGTGGCCAGCAGCGTCCACTTGGTCAGTTCTGTTGCCATTATTGTCCAATTATTGAGTGACCTTTTGTCCTTCCTCCTGCCGGACATACAGTTTATATTGGAGACATGTTGCCAAGTCTGATGAACATGCTTCAATGCAACATCTGGCAAAGCTGGCACCTCCACAACACCAAATATTACCAAGCTGACACAAACTTCCTCATTGTCCGATGTTTCTAATGTCATCTGGCATCTGTTTCACAAATCAATCTTACATCTGTCAGCTGATTGTAAGACTGATGGAAAACCTTTCCTTTAACACAGACATTGTGAGAGTGTCGAGAGCAAAATGACTGATGTTTCTTGTAAGATCAAAATGAAATTGGGGACATGGGTGGCACGGCCGTTTAAGGTGCTGCAATTCATCATGCAGAGCTACGTCCCTTGGTCACGCCAGAAACCTATGATCGTGATTTCGAATCCCGGTTCGGCCCAATTTATGTTCTAGGTTTGTCAACACCATACCCGTGCTCATCGGTTTCACAAAAGTGGTAAGCGTCTTAGACCTGCTTCACTTCTGGCCCTCCTCCCACCTTAAGCTGACAATAATAACGCCTGTATTACTGTTTAGAACATTAAGATCAAACTCACTCACTCACTCCCGGTTCTCCCCGATTATGTTTCTAGGTTTGTCAGGACCATACCCATGCTCGAGGGTTTCACCGAAGTGGTAAACGTCTGAGACCTGCATCACTTCGGGCCTTCCTCCCACATTAAGCTGACACGCCGTGATTTAACTGGAATACTGTTAAAAGTGGCGTTAAACCCAACTCACTCACTCACTCAAGGCCTATTTGTATCAACTTGTTAGGTTACTGTTTCAATAAGATGATACAGACTATTGAAATGGGAGTGGTGGGACAATACACCAATGCATCGATGGATCACAATAATATATTTCTCAATACAAGTATCGATCACAGTAGCACACTAAGTAAAATATATCAATACATACCTTAAATGTTTTCTGTAATAACCCCACTCACTCACTCACTCACTCACTCACTCACTCACTCCTAGAGTTTTGAGCTGCATGTCACAGCTTTGGATGGTTCAGGTATAACTACCATCCTCCAGTGTACATGCTACCCTGTGCTCCATGCCTGCACCCAAACAATACTGTGTTAAATGTCAATCAGGAAGCACCAATAATAAACACCAGACAGTTTTCAGGCCATTTAGCTTAGGTGGTCTGGAGCCAGGGTTAATGTAGACAAGCAGGGCTGAGTGGGTAGAGTTTAACTTTCTAGAGTCCTGTAATAAAAGGAACAGTGTAAATTTCCGAAATAAACCCCGACAAAAGGAAATCCCTGTAATGGGAAAAAGGCTTTGTGTTTTCTTTAGTGGCAAGTTTAGAGGTTATCGGAAGTAGGTTCAATATTCAGGCTTTCCCAGATTTCTGAGTGTGCCATTGTTATTTGATTTGCTCTGTGATGTATTTTGACATCTGAATATGGCTTTTTGTCACCATTAAGATGGTTCTAAAAAGTATCTGCTTGCTTTTCACGAAATATCTTTGATCTGACACTGGCATATATTTATTTTTTCAAATTTTATGTTTTCTATTGGGTGAAATTATTGATGTGTCAACTTCTGTATTGGATCCATCAGTATTTTCTCTGACACATTCTCCTGCATCAGTGTAATCGGCGTAGCTTCAGTCTGTTGCAGAACTTGCAACACCAGACAAATTGTCTTTAAATCAAAGGAATGATATTTTGCTTTAATGATATTTCATCTCATTTGTTATGAAATAAACAGCATTATTCAACAGAAGACATGTACAAGAAGTAATCAATGTTGAAGTTTATCAATATTAATGAGTATTGAATTCCAAGTTGTGGATCCACCTTGAGTACTACTAATTGGTTTTGCCAGGTTGAGAAGCCCAGTCATATATGATGCCACTATTTACTGTGCAGGGTTGTGTCCCTTTGCCATGCCAGGATCTGCTGGAATCACCTTGATTTTGATCCATGCTCGCTCAGTGCCATGTGTTTTCTCATGGGTTTTGACAAACTGGTTAAGGTCTAGGACTGACATTTCTTGTAGCTTTTCTCCGACTTCATGCTGCCATGACGTGATATATCTGAAATACTGTTACTGACATTCAAATCCAACTCACTCACTCTGGGTGTGAAAATAGGTTCCAGCAGCCGTTGCTTGTTGTAAGAGGCTACTGACTGGTTTGGGTGGTTAGACTCGGTGACGTAGTTAATTGCATTTCATCATATTCCAGTTGTGTTGATCGATGCTTTGTATGTTAATCACAGGATTGTCTGTTCCAGACTCAATTATATGTGGACCACCATCATATAGCTGGAATATTGCTAAGTGTGGCTGATAATTAACCAACAAAGAAACAATTTCACTCACTCTCTGAGGAGCATGATGAGGACACTCATTGTCAGTCACACCAACAGACTTCCAGTAAAAGTTGGGGGCATTGGTGGCCCAGTCATCTTAGGCGCCGCGATTCGCTGTGCAGATTTGCGACCCTTGGGCAGGCCAGAAACCTATTATCATGGGTTCGAATCCTGGTTTGCCCCAATTTCTAGGTTTGTCAGCACCATACCCATGCTCGTGGGTTTCACCGAAATGGTAAACATCTGAGACCTGCATCACTTCGGGCTTTCCTACCACATTAAGCTGACATGCCGCAATATAACTGGAATACTGTTAAAAGCAGCATAAAACACAACTCACTCACTCCAGTAAAAGTTAAATAAGCTACTAATGAGAAACAAAGAAGTAACTATTGTCTTGATGAACTCTATTTACTCTGTTGTTTTTTCCAGATATGAACTCCGAGTGAGGTACTTACCCAAAAATATCCCAGAGCTGTATTCCAAAGACAAAGTGACATTCTACTACCTCTATGATCAGGTAAGTATCCGCGGCAGATTGTGTGGAAGTTATTGAGGCTTTCTTGATGCCGTAAAAGGCGACTATGCTTGTCATAAGAGGCGACTAACGGGATCGGGTGGTCAGGCTCGCTGACTTGGTTGTTGCATGTCATTGTCCCAATTGCAAGGATCGATGCTCATGATATCAATCACTGGATTGTCTGGTCCAGACTCGATTATTTACAGACTGCCGTCATATAGCTGGAATATTGCGTTAAACGAAAAACCAACCAACCAACCAACTTTCTTGATGCGTAGTTGGTAGTAATGCAACTATACAACTGTTAGTACATTTGGATTGTCTAAGGGCCAATGGCAGTACATTGATGATAAAGTGAAATATCACTAGTTGACATCAATAGCATGCTTGATTATCAACACTTTTGATATATGTCAACATGTTTGACAGGAGTAACATGAGTACAATCACTACCCTACCTCAAACGTAAAAAGAGTTATCTCCCTTAATTCTCCACCATCTTCCAGATTCCCTTGCAGACTATTGGACCTAGTAAATGGCAGACATGTTAGACTTAACATCATCCCGGTTCGCCCCGATTATGTTTCTAGGTTTGTCAGCACCATACCCATGCTCATGGGTTTCACCGAAGTGGTAAACGTCTGAGACCTGCATCACTTTGGGCTTTCCTCCCACCTTAAGCTGTAACGCTGCGATATAACTGGAATACTGTTAAAAGCGGCGTTAAACCCAACTCACTCACTCACTATTGTCATACTATTGTGATACTATTGTAATACTATTGTAATACTATTTGTGATACTATTTGTGATACTATTGTGATACTATTGTAATACTATTGTAATACTATTTGTGATACTATTTGTGATACTATTTGTGATACTATTTGTGATACTATTTGTGATACTATTGTGATACTATTGTGATACAGGGACAACTATTGCAATACCTTCCAATGGTGCTTTTACCATTGCAATACTTTACTCAATTAATCCTTGTAATAACGATTATTAATACACAAATATCATGAGATGCAGTCATCATCAGGGATGAGCATTATGTGAAAACAAGTTCTACATTCAGTTATCAAATAAAACATGTCACAGAAATCTTTCACAACCTCAGCTTCTCAGATTTCCAAACTGATATGATCACTTGCAGCCATGTTGAAGGCAATGAACATTCAAGCAAAGCGAAAATAAATCCAGGGAAATGAGTTGGATGAAATTCTTTCATTTCTTCAACCTGTGTAAAGCACCTGCCGTTAATTCTTGCCTTGATCTGGGGATGGAGAGGAGGGCGGGATGTTAATGAGGAACAAGCTGACCTGGCAGTGATAAGTGAGGGGTGGGGGGAGAGAGCTTTGTGGCATTGATTACAGGAGACAAAGAAACCTGGATGGATGATTGGGGGATATGGAGAAGTTATGAAATGATGGGTTGTTGTAAAAAGTGGAATCAATACTTCGGTTTGTTCGCACTGCTTCAATGTTGAAATTAGTTTTGGGGAATTAAAATATGTTAAGGTGTGTTCCTTGCAAGAGAATATATTCATTAAAGGTGCTGAAGTAGAAATTTGATTCCCGTGATTAGTCGAAAAATATGACAATTCTATATTGTATAGCTTCAACAATTATTTAGCACTTTGGAGAAAGTTGATGAATGAGTCATATTTTCAAACATGTTTCCTGAATAAGTTCACTCTAAAAATATCTTATCGCAGTAGGATAAAATGTAAACTTTGTATTGAAAAGTAAATGGAAAATTTCCTAAGTATTGATACTTTTAGAAATATGAGGTTAATGATACAATAGTTATATAACCTTAACATTTTGATAGGTTAGCCAAGTAGTAAAAGCATTCACTTGTCAAGCCCCAGGTCTGATTCTCCACATAAAGCTATGTGCATAGCCCAATTCTGATGTTCCAGCCATGGCATAGTTGAAATGTTTCTCAACATGTGAAAATCCACTCTCACATCAGTTAAAAAATTAAGGAAGCAACAAATTCCAAAAGTGTTTAGGTGCATAATTGTCTAAAATCTCTCAGAAATGAACATGGATTTGTAACATCTCTTTGTCAATCCACTGTTATGTGAAACTAAGCTTGTGCTGTCAAGTCAATTAGGTAGCACCAACCCTCCATGGCCTTAAGTCTGACAGGAGAGTTGGTTTGGGGGTGGGAGGGGGGGAGTGTTGCTTGTCTGGAGGAGGAAATGAAATTGCGGCCTCCCCTAAGCATCTCATGCTCACGTGACATTGTGATGAAACACAATGCCAGATCAAAGAGTAGGTGATCAAAATGAAGTTAAAGTCTTTGATTGAGCAGATTTGATGCTCTGGTCTGTGTATTGATGTAGAAAATGTTGAATGTCAGATTTGCCATTTCATTGATTTCTTGTAATCTGATTGAAAAGATATGTGAGATAATTCTGTGTAAGAACTTGAAAGATTTCATTATGAAAATGTACTTTGTTTCATGAAATATTTCTTTTTGTTTGTTTTGTTCAATGTCAAAGTAACATGCTGCAGTCAAGCTTCATTAAGATCCTGCTTAGCTATTAAGAAACCTGCAGATAAGTAGGTTCTCGTGTATCTCCAGATCGAATTCTTCTGTAAATATAATCATTTGATGTATAACTAGAACCAGTTTGGTAGGAACCTGGATAACTACATGCACTTCCTTGTTCCCCTGAGGACATAGTCAGTTGATCATTGAACACAACATAGAAAATCCTTCACGTGCTAAACCAGCTCTACAGGAAGCTCTCATAAAATCTCCAACATCATCATCATTGCGAAGATAATTACTCACCGACACTAAGTACTGTATTCAGTGTCTATTTACTTCTAGATAATTTTGAATAAAGGGTAGTTATGTAGCATCAATTATTTTAGTTTGACATATTGGAGTACCTCCACAATGATATAACATGTTGTTTGGGGATGATAAAGGGTTAGATCAGTAGAATTTAGATGGCTACCAGTTTGTTTGTTTGTTTGTTGTTTAACACCACACTCAGCAATATTCCAGCTATATGGTTGTGGTCTGTAAATAATTGAGTCTGGACCAGACAATCCAGTGGTTGATAGCATGAGCATCGATCCATACAATTGGGATACGATGACATGCATCAACCAAGTCAGTGAGCCTGACCACCCGATCCCATTAGTCGCCTCTTACGACGAGCTTGGTAATTATTATGATTTTGTGTTTTCAGGTTCGGAATGACTACATGCGTGATATAGCCGAACACATTGCACATGAAGTTGCCATCAGGCTTGGATGTATAGAAATGAGGTACGCTAATGATGATGTATTTTTGGATTAAATAATTGCTTTAGTTGTTTATGTGTGATTTTCTTTTTCACTTGAAATTGGTATTGATGATCTGTTGAAAATGTTTCTTGTAAGATTCCTGCAATGCTGTCTTCAATTTCAATTATTCGATTTTGAAGAAACGATTATTTGGTTAATTTGGACACAACAGGAATATTGATGATTAGAAATATTTGCAATTATATTTTTTTCTCATTATCAACAAATAAACTGGATTCTGTTTTGTTTTCAGGCGGTTTTTCAAAGACATGCCTCAAGTAGCTTTAGATAAAAAGTCCAACTTTGAATACTTAGAGAAAGAAGTTGGGCTCAAAAGATTCTTACCTCGAACTGTGATGGATTCAATGAAAGTGAGTTGCTGTTTTTTGTACCTGTTCAAATTACTAACATACCTTTCTGAAGACTTGTTAAACATATGTTGTTTATTTGTTTATGAAAATTTTAAAAATATTCTTCACCTGCAAGGATCATTGCTTCAAAGGGTTCCTTCCGAAAGTTTGACGTGAAAAGGCAGACAGATGTTAGTCATCAAAGAGGAACCTAAGTCAATTTCCTTCTCTTTTTTGGCCATGGGAATGTTTCGAAATACTTTATTTTTAATCACCTCAATGATGTATTCCAAGTACGGTGATGTATTTATGGAAGGAAATAATAATATTGGTGTATTGATAAAAGTTTGGGTGCTAAACATGTGACTTTTTAGGATCGTGAAAATGGGAAGTATTATTTTCAGGTTATGATGAGAATTCAGATGACGTATGAAGATATAAATCTAGTCATTTGTTTAAAATAACCAGGTAATAGGGTGACACTGTTTGGCCTGTGACTTGTACAGCATTGGAAATTATTGCGGCATCAGTTAACGCCCTCAAATCTAAGAATTTAACAATATATAAATAGAAAATTGGCAGTTGGGTAGCCCAGAGTTTTATGGGTCAGCCTGTTATGCCCTGTATATTGGTTTGAATCCCAAAATGGGTCTACTATATGAAGACCATCCGCTGTGTGTTACCATGAAATTCTTGCAAGAGAATTAATGAAAGGAAAAGAACTCTCCAATATTGAAAATGAACTTTTTTCCACAGCCGAAGGCCTTGCGCAAAGTTATTCAGCATCACTTCCGCCAGTATGCTCAGCTGACGGAGTCGGAGTGTGTATATAAGTTCTTCGATACTCTCATCACCGTCATTAAGTTCAATCAGGAACGATTCAAGTGCGCCTTAGGGGTATGTACTTACTTCATTTTATACAACTCTCATTCTTGTATAGAGTAATATCGCATTCATATAGAATCTTAACCGGCAGTCTTTTCATAACAAATATATCGGCACAAGTCAAGTTTGATATGTTTGATAAGGACACTCAGTTGAGATTCTATTTGTCATCAAATCATTCTTCCAACTTTTTCAGGATGTAAACAGTAATTACAATCACCTTGAGTGTACAACATACAGGGGGCGGTCGGGTAGCCTAGTGGTTAAAGCGGTCGCTCGCCCCGCCAAAGATCCGGGTTCGATTCCCGACATGGGTACAATGTGTGAAGCCCATTTCTGTCCCCCCGCTGTGATGGTGATATTGCTGGAATATTGCTAAAAGCGCCGTAAAACCATTCTCACTCACTACAGCACACAGTTAACCAGCTTCATTCTCAGAAAAATTAGTGATGTCATTGCCCTGTGACGTCATGGTAACCCATAACATCACAATGGGCTGCTACAAACAAACATGATACACCTCCATCACGATGCAATACATCCTATTATATCCCAGTCAAGATATGACATATAGATATACTGAATTTGAGCCGTTTTTCCCTGACAGTATGTCGTTGCTATCAAGCAAATGTGTTTTATTCCAATAATTGGCTTAGATTGTTCTAAAAATATTATGCAATCAGATTTAATATTAGGTTTCATGACAGGCTGTAAGGTAAAGGTAGCTGTTGCAAAACTTGTAAATATTACTTTGAAAATTGAGACAGAATCTATGTGAATTGATATGTACAGTATATGGAAGGATTGTCGTGTATCATATCAGAATCAATGTGATGGCACATGGTAAGGACTGTCATGTTTCATATCATTTCAGTAACTTCAGGATGCATTATGTTATGATTTAATTTTGGGGGGGATTTTAAATTTCATATCATAATGTTTAAAATTAGTTGGAATTGGAAGATTTATGTTAAGTTTCTTCCAATCTGTTCAGTATTTCTGCATGAAATTTTTCTTGGTGCCAATAAGTCCAATTATGACTTTTGTTAATAAGAAGAATAAAAATATCCACACAAGACCATGTGGAAAACATTTGGAAGCCATTTTACCTCCAAATATCAGTCATTACTGTTAGAGATGTTTCGTGTGAGTGGAATCTGTGGTTCATACACCTCCAGTAGTCAATACAGAGTTAAAACATGGCCAAAGATCCCGTCAATGGCCTGGACTTCATCAGGAAGGATATTTGAAACTTCCCACTGCAGTATTGTCCAGCTGCAGTATTGTCCCGCTAAGTATTGTCCAGCTGCAGTATTGTCCAGCTGCAGTATTGTCCAGCTGCAGTATTGTCCCGCTAAGTATTGTCCAGCTGCAGTATTGTCCTGCTGCAGTATTGTCCCGCTAAGTATTGTCCAGCAGCAGTATTGTCCTGCTGCAATATTGTCCCGCTAAGTATTGTCCAGCTGCAGTATTGTCCTGCTAAGTATTGTCCAGCTGCAGTATTGGCCAGCTGCAGTATTGTCCCGCTAAGTATTGTCCAGCTGCAGTATTGTCCCGCTAAGTATTGTCCAGCTGCAGTATTGGCCAGCTGCAGTATTGTCCCACTGCAGCATGGTGTATGTTAACACCAAATATGATTAACTGATGAAAGATGTTCTCTTAAAAATCTGTTCTTGTTAGCAGAAAGTAGTAACAGGAGACGTCTTAGTGTAATCCCTTCATCAAACAGTTCCAAACAGTTCTGCAACTCTGTAAACCACTCTCACAGAAGTCTCACATGATAGAAAGTCTTTTCAAACATTGTTTTCATTTGTTTCATCATAACATAAAATTGCTAACATAAATGTTCATATCCAAAATATGGTTATCTTTCAGTCTGGGTGGAGCATCTATGTTGATATTGTCATTGGCCCAGATGTTGGAATCAGTTATCTTACAGAAAAAGCCTCTTCGGTAAGTATTTTACCTACCTACAGCCAGATAATGTTTATATGAACGAGGTTAGTTTACATGGGAGAATGTTTTGGGAATGATAATCAACTCAGTAGATGATGGTGAGAGCAGTTGGGATTTGGCTTGGTGGAGTTACCTCCCTTCAACAGATAATGGCCGTGAAGTGTTAGTGATTGAAGTGTACGCCGATATTGTCCTATCTTTCTTGATAGGACAAGTGTATTTGTGTGGTGTCCTGGTTTTTACAGTTTCCTGGTCTTAACAGATGGTTGTGTTTGTTAAAATGTTTGTGATAATGTAAACACATGATACCGGGGTTAGCGACTGAACCAAGGAAACTGCTCCCACTGTGGCAAACATAGCTTTCCTGATTGTCTTGTGTGGGTCTCAATATTGAAAATGTGGCAAGCTGCTTTATTAAAAAGGAAAAGTTTTGAACATTGCAGCTGTTACAAGATTTAGTTATGATGTTAATATTTTACTATAGTCCACTTGCTGAACAATAACTTATTGACCAGTCATCGTAGTGTTGCTGATGGGGCACGGGTGGCCCAGTCGTCTAAGGCGCTGCGATTCGCTGTGCAGAGTTGCGTCACTTGTGCACGCCAGAAACCTATGATTGTTGGTTCAATTATGTTTCTAGGTTTGTCAGCACCATACCCGTGCTCGTGGGTTTCACCGAAGTGGTAAACGTCCGAGACCTGCATCACTTCGGGCTTTCATCCCATATGAAGCTGACACGCTGTGATATAACTAGAATACTGTTAAAAGCGGCGTTAAACCCAACTCACTCACTCACTCACTCACTCGTAGTGTTGCTGATGACGAGATAGAACAATGATTATTGTTAACCCAGAAGTGATGTTTGATCCTATTCTTAACATGAAGTTTGAATTAAGGGTATCACAATGCAATTATATGTTAGCTCTGTTTACTTTTGTTTATTTAATATTTATGCTCTGTGGTTTGTAAGAGAGACTTTCAATCAGGTGGTCAGGCTCGCTGACTTGGTTCTTTGCTTGTGATGGTGTGGATCCTTACTCACTCTGTGACTTTGACCACTAGTCCGTAGACCGAGTCTTGTAAATTGTCTTTCAGTCTTGTAAGCTTTGCTACTAAATGTCAATACATTAGCTCTGAGGTCCACTGAAAATTATGTCAATTGACACATTCGGGCTTGTTGACTCAGACTCATGTTTTTGACACAGACTGTTCTATAATAATCAACCACGCCATGGCACGCCACGCCACGCCACGCCACGCCACGCCTTGCCTTTGACTACTAATGAGCCAGTTATTGTTATTTCAGCCAACCCACATGGCCGACTTTGCCCAGGTCCAGTCCATACAGACAGTTGGCAGTGAGGACGGCAAGGGCATCCTACAGCTGAAGATAGCTGGTGCTAATGAACCTCTCATGATCACGTGTGCGATGTTGCAAGATGCTGAGGATGTAGCGGACCTGATTGACGGGTACTGTCGCCTTGTACATGACATGAACGACTCTCTCTGGACCAGGAAAGGTGAGATACAGTGACGTGTTTTCATATTTTATTTTTTTATGAAAAAACTATTTCGTATGTTGTGCATACTGTTTTCAAGCAGATTTTTCTGAAATTAATAGTCAATTTGACAATAAGGGCATATTATAGTTTGATAATGCAATAGACTTAGTGTTTTTCCAGAATGTTGACTTTTCAAACAATGTCACAATTCTTCTCATTTTAAAATTGTCACAAATAATACTCACGTCAAAATTTATTGGCCATTTTATCCAGATCAACAATATATACTTCTCAAAAGAAGTTAAGGAACACCGATTTTTTTTTTTTTTCCCCCCCTATGACAGTTAATCTGTCATGTCATGACTCAAAAGAAGTTAAAGAACACCTGTCATATTATGACAGATAAACTACAGTCATTTGAAAAAATCGTGTATTCTTGACTTCTTTTGAGTAGTATATATTTGGCATTTACTCTTAGGAATCACAGATGCTGACTACAAGTTGACTATACTTCTTCTGCTTCTGTATATATATATATACTTTCCCTAACACTGGCACGATATAAGAATGTGCATTACTGTACTTGATGTTAGTCTTGTATATTTATATATATATGGTTTTCTACATATAATGACTTGCCTCTGAGAGTGTACCTCTGTCTGTATATCTACGAACTGACCCACTCAACTGTGGCCTAATGAATCTTCTTATTAATTTGTTAGCCGTGACAAGATCACATTGATAAGTCCATGTTTCGCATACTAACCAGCTATGTATATATATGAGCAGTAAGCAACTACTTACCATACCTATGATGAAAAAAGTCAGTGCTATTACCAGAAGTATGTACAAGAGAGCTCTGACGTATTGCTGAAGCTCAATCACGCCAGATAATTAGGAAGCAGTTGTAACCATTCTGTTTGGGTTTCCAACCATTGATATGTATTTGACTTATTCTTTTTGATTTGCTACATCCATGTTTTATTCATCATGTTCTGTTTGCAAAAGAATTGCAAAAAAACATTATTTTATATTTACAGCTTCATATACATTTGATTTATCAATTTTTAACGTGGAAAATTATCTGATTGAAAAGATTGCTAAACTCAAAAAGACTATTATTGTAAATCGGAAAAGACTATTATTATAAAACGGAAAAGACGATTATTGTAAATCCGAACCTGTTTCATTTACAATGTGCATGACGTTCTTCTGAAAAGAAGTCCCATTCATGCATATTCTGATACGGATTTATTTTGTTCCCGATATAAAGCTACTGAAGATCTACCTTCATTTACTAAAATAGCCTACCTCAGTTGGAACTCATACGATTCAGATGACGAAGGGGAGGCAACTTGTAGTGAAGGTAATTGGAGTTAACTCCCCTTGGCACGGATTCCTTTTGATTTTGAGTTCTGAAACTTGACCTGGCACCCTTGAAACTCTTGAAACATCCCGTGTTTCACCTTTTTCTCACAACTTGTTTATCGACCATGTTCCTTTGTTTTGCACTTGGTTTGCATGTTTACTTTGTATCAGTGTGTTAATTAACAATACTGCTTCCTTCTGTTTTGAGTTGAAAATGGAAAGGTTAGAGTAACATATTCATTTGTATTAATTTTACGGTTACAAGGTTTTATGTTTGCTTTATAAAATTGTGAGTTTTAGTTTTAGTTTTAGTGATGTGATTGTTAGGATACCTGGTAACTAGAATCCTGGGAAAAGGATCGTGAAATGTGCAGATAAATATCACACACGTTATTGGTATGAACACAGTTTGTGACGGAGGGCTGAAATAGTATTCACGTCAAGTTACAAATCTGATAGAGGATATGTCACTGAATGTTCAATATTTCAACATTTCAGGCCAGACTAACTGATCTTCTTGTTTTATGATTCCGCCTTACCAAAACTGTTGAAAAAGCAAAACCTCATGCATTTTCAAGATGATTTCTTGAATATTTAAAGAATTCTTGGACATTTTGAGCCAGAAAATCATAAAACATAATATGTAAATATAATATTGAAAAAGTATGAATAATTACCATAATCATTTTCATGGAATATCGAAAAAGAAATTTGAGCCTGTGAAATCTCTAATGCAAGATTAGAACTTTCAAATATTACTGGTATAGATATGAATGAGTCAAAAATAAGCACTGAAACTAAAGGATTCATCAAGATACTCATGAATATCAAGAATATCACCATGTCATTAAGAATATCACCATGGCATTAAGAATATCACCATGTCATTAGGAATATCACCATGTCATTAAGAATATCACCATGTCATTAGGAATATCACCATGTCATTAAGAATATCACCATGTCATTAGGAATATCACCATGTCATTAAGAATATCACCATGTCATTAGGAATATCACCATGTCATTAAGAATATCACCATGTCATTAAGAATATCACCATGTCATTAGGAATAGCACCATGTCATTAGGAATAGCACCATGTCATTAAGAATATCACCATGTCATTAGGAATATCACCATGTCATTAAGAATAGCACCATGTCATTAGGAATATCACCATGTCATTAGGAATAGCACCATGTCATTAGGAATATCACCATGTCATTAAGAATATCACCATGTCATTAGGAATAGCACCATGTCATTAAGAATATCACCATGTCATTATGCCATTTTCCTTCCTAGTGTTTCCACTCTGCCTGTGATATGTCGGAATGCCATCTGTATATGCACCTAGTAAATAACACATAATTACTTGTATAATTACTGTTTCTGAACACCACCTCTTTTACTGACATCGAGACAACTATGCATGCAGTGTTCTAATTCTGTCTTCCTAATTCTCTCATTGTTGTAATAACACGACAACTCTCAAGTTTCCAGAAATGGTTTCTTGTTCTTAGTTTGATGTTAGAATTACTTTAATTTCTTTAGTTATCAAATTGTTTGAAGTGAGTGATGATGTATATTATGTTATAGACTAAGTTATTGAACATTTCTTCGTATACACCGGTGAGTAATATAGGCCTCAACTCCTTATATAGTACCCAGTGGTTCCAAGCAACCTATGCTGGTCAGGGGAGGCGACTTCGGATGGTCAGACTCGGTGACCTGGTTGATGGTATGTCATCGTAGGCGGACGGCATGGATAATTTCTCACTGTATCAGTTATGTATTGTCTGGGCCTGACTCAATTATTTACGTTGTGAAATATTGAGTGCACCATTAAACGACAAATAAATTTTGCACGAGTCCTATTGAGTTGTCAAGATAATGAATCTCAATGACTGTTACCTCCATTAATTCTCCAACTAATTACCTAGCAATCTACGGGAATTCGGAAGTGGCGGACAAGTTTGACACGATTATTTACAAAAAGTCATCATATAGCTGGAATATTGCTGAATGTTGTGTAAACAACAAACAAACAAATAAACAAACACAGTCCCTGAAGTAATCAGAGGTAATGATAAATGTTGTGGTCCGATTATAATGACAATAGCTGGACGTTGATGAGAAAGTAGGGAATGTCCGTCAAGGGGCGAAATGGATTTTTGGATTAGCAACAGCTGAAGCCTGGGGTTGTTTTGTGGAGATGGACAAAATATGTTTTGAAATATTAATCAATGGATGTATTGTCCTTTTGTGGAGTTCTATACAAATGAATAATTAAGACTGTTTTCATTAAAGGGAAAAAAGGGTTAATATCTGGTAATTCAGCACAGTGTTTTGTTTAACAGGATAATACAAAATGTAATTAAAAATACAAAATAAAAATAAGTGTTGATGTACTGCATTGGAAATATATATTAAAAAAAATTAAAAAATTTGCCAATAAAAAAATAATATAAGCATCACCAGGAAGTAATGAGAGGTAATGGTGTTGCTGTAAATAACTTGATAAGAGTTCATTGACTACAAGTTGCGATAGAGCCAAGCGCTATTATCCTGGGACACTGGGCTACCATACCCAATAGGTGCCTAGGGATCTACAGTAACTTGCAGGGCAAAATGATGCTTACTAGAAAGCCACTGTTAACAGGTCACATCTTTGTTCAATCTCTGGAGATGTTTGTATGTGAATGTAATGCTGTTTCCACCTTAATGAGACCTTGTAGACTGGACGTGCAGTGTAAGTCAAGATGATTGATTATATCGCATGTAATCTCTCATTGGATCATAGTTTGTGCTATAATGGCTGTAGAATATTTAAAGAATCTCACCCAAGTGTCTTTTGATATAAAATATATCAACATGAGTCGATAAAAGTTGAAAACATTTATGACGATTGTTGATATATGTTATATTTGATATCAAAAGACATGAGGGTAAGATTCTATTTATCATCGACGATCATTCTTCCAACTTTCTCAGTTTGTATTAAAATCAGTAATTAAAACAGTGTCTTGTGTGTAAAATGTACAGCAAACCAGCTTCAGTGGCAGAGAGGTTTGTGATGTCATGTGATTGTGATGTCGTGGTGACTGATGACATCACAATGACCTGCAGTCAGTATCTCCTGAGGAATGATAAATAGACCGTAACTGGAATTTGTTGATGAGTCAAACTCTTCCGTTCCCACTTCATTTGTAATGAGGACACTTGTAAGAAGAGGCACGTTTTTTTACTTAAAAATGGTATGTTATTTGAGAAGTGGATGAAGAACCTTAAACACATGCTGATGGAGTAAAAACTATTGGCAATCCATATTTTGAACATCAATGTTTGCTGTGTTCAGTAAAAATACTTCAATTGAACAAGATAAGGTAGTAAGGCCATAACAAAGTAAGTATTAGAGTTTACTTCCAGCCCCATGAACTACAGATCAACCTCCCTCGTGGATGTTTCATAGTCTCTAAGTGGCTTCAAATTTAGACAAATCCAAATGTCCTCCATTTCCTTTCAGTTTGTTTATACATGTATAACATCAAATATTAAAAATAAAATGCCTCCTGCCTCCATTAATATAAGACCCGTGAAGATTCCGAGGAGAATAGGTCTTCAGCAATCCATGCTTGCCGTAAAAGGTGACTATGCTTGTCGTAAAAGGCGACTAACGGGATCGGGTGGTCAGACTCGCTGACTTGGTTGATGCATGTCATCGATCCCAATTGGGTGGATCGATGCTCATGATATTTATCACTGGATTGTCTGGTTCAGACTCGATTACTTACAGGCCGCCGCCAAAGATCTGGAATATTGCTAAGTGCGGCGTTAAAACCAACCAACCAACCAACCATTAATATAAAAAGTTGGATTACAAAAATCCATCATTAATTACTGTGACTGAAGATATACATATGTATGCCCATGCTGTAACCCAGTGCTTGTATTATTTGTACATATACTACTCAAGAGAAGATAAGGACCACCAAATTCTTTCATGTTATTTTTGACATGACAGCTTTACTATAGTTGTATGAAAGAATCAACTGTTCTTTAACTTCTGGGGGGGGGGTGGCCCAGTTGTCTAAGGCGCCGCGATTCGCTGTGCAGAGTTGCGTCCCTTGGACACGCCAGAAACCTATGATTGTGGGTTCGAATCCCGGTTCGCCCCGATTATGTTTCTTGGTTTGTCAGCACCGTACCCGTGCTTGTGGGTTTCACCGAAGTGGTAAACGTCTGAGACCTGCATCACTTCGAGCTTTCCTCCCACATTAAGCTGACATGCTGTGATATAACTGGAATACTGTTAAAAGCGGCGTTAAACCAAACTCACTCACTCACTCACTCTTTAACTTCTTTTATGTAGTATATATTCTTGTGATACAATGTTTCTGCTTAATGTTTACATTTAAGTTATAAGCACATGCTTTCAGGAATCAGATAATAAATCATTTGTAAATTTGATATCTTTAATGGTCATCTGATAATTGTCATGTTTGTTCATGTTGAACAATTCTGGTTTTCGTGACAATCATGTTTTTACAAAAACAAAAGAGTTTCCAATAATCTGACATGCAAAGAGTGTTTGTCCAAGAACTGATGAATCTTTCAAGATTTCTACACACATTCTTTGTGGAGTTCTGTTCCTAAAATGAATTATTCACCCAGCGTCCCTAATTTTGTGTTTGCTTGCGTTACTGATCCAATTCCATTCATTTTAGGTGACCAAAATCAATGGTAAAACAATGCCACATGGCAAAAACATCAGAAAATCAATTATTCGCATTACCCAAATCATTCATCAAGATCAAGATCGCGAATAGGAAGTGAGGCCTCACACCAGACACTAAGATTGCTAGTATTTGACTGTCAGGGCGACGTTCAACCTGTTCTATGGGCATTCTGCAGTTGACCACTGGTTGGTTGATTGATGTTGTGGTCCGATTATAATGACAATAGCTGGACGTTGATGAGAAAGTAGGGAATGTCTGTCAAGGGGCGAAATGGATTTTTGGATTAGCAACAGCTGAAGCCTGGGGTTGTTTTGTGGAGATGGACAAAATATGTTTTGAAATATTAATCAATGGATTTATTGTCCTTTTGTGGAGTTCTATACAAATGAATAATTAAGACTGTTTTCATTAAAGGGAAAAAAGGGTTAATATCTGGTAATTCAGCACAGTGTTTTGTTTAACAGGATAATACAAAATGTAATAAAAAATAGTGTTGATGTACTGCATTGGAAATATATCTAAAAAAATTATATTTTTGCCAATGAAAAAATAATACATGTATAAGCATCACCATGCATATTGCTCACGTAAATTAATGTAACTCTATATTGAACAAAATTATACTTCTCAAGAAAGGTGAAGGACCACCCGATCTTCTTTTCATATTACTATAGTTTATGTTAGTATATTTTAGATTAACTATAGTAATATGAAAGAATTAGGTGGACCTTAATTTGTTTGAGTTGTATATATGTGAAAATTTGTAAACCAGCTCCAAAACCACTCCCTTCATCATCAGGGCAGTGTTCCGCAACGTAAGCAGTGTTTGTCAGTAAGGAAGAATCGACATGGAAACAACGTCTAAATTCTAAAAAAGAAGTGTCAAGTGGGCCCTAAGTTTATCCAGGATAACAGAAAATCTCAAAGATCCCATGATACCATTTAAGTAAACTGATAAAGGATTAATTAATATATGATACCACTCAAATGAGGTTAAGGCCCACTGTTGCTATAGTAAATCTGTTATGGCATGACTGACTATAGTAACATGACTAATATGGTGGTCCTTAACTTGTTTTAATTAGTATAAGTGATAGATTGTCATTTAAGGTTTAAATAGGTTAGAGAAAGCATGTTTGAGAAATCATCCAGAGACTTCTATGTTATGTATGTTAATAGTTTTTTCAATGTAGATGATTATTCCGAGATATGAGTATTCAGTATTCCACGTGTGACATTCACGCACTAGACCTCCAGTGTTCGCCCTCTGAAATGGTCGACAAATTATCGTCGCCCCCTGCTGACATTGGTATGATAATTTAATTTTCACAAAGATGTTGACATTTGGCGCAATTTGCATTTAATAACAGCCAACTACAGTTATATCCATTTCCAAATAGATATCAAAATGTTATTTTTATCAGGAACCTTTTTATAGCCGTCGAGCATCAATCCCATCCCAGCTACCCTCATTCATTCACTGTATGATAAAATATTGATCTGCCGACGAGAGGTCAGAGTGTATTTTAAAGAGCAGCTCTTGTGTTGACACTTTGCCAATATCGTCATGCTAGCGGACAGACTCATTAAGAGTTGCATGTAATATCCATATTCCCTACATCCCTGTAGAGACATCCTGAATCCAGTCTTGCTTGATTATTCTGAGTTTGCCCTGCCTCAGGACAAGCTGTGTGCAAATAACTGACCATCATATTGTCCCTGGCCTGACCGATGGAATAACGGTAGTCGCGCCCGAGCGACCAAATTATTGATTTTTGTCGCTGCTTCAGTGGCAGGCTGTCCTTTGTTCCATTTAGTCGGAGCTGTGCAATATTCCGTTAGCTGCTGGTCGACAGACAGTGTAGTGTGTGTCTTTGTGTATCACATGGTCGTATATGGGGAGTCCCCACAACATGGATGTGTGGACACTTCTGGCTAAATATCACCCTGATTTTCATATCTTTACAGGCGAGACCATTCCTAGGACGCCTCGATCAAGGTACGTGGACATTTCTATTTGATAGATTTTAGTTTGACTTCATTTCATAATTTGAAAGTTTTGAAGTTTGATGATGATTCATCAACACCTCTGAAATGTCTGGCGTGATGCAACTTCTGTTACCATTGTCAAATCCTTTTTTGCCATATATGGTAATAAATTTGATTTTTTTTCCCAAAGTGTTTGAAAACTACATCAGTGCTTTTAAAACTTTCATATATTTAAATCAGGTGCTGTATTTCTTTATAAGTGCATATATTCATACAGTACTTAAATATATCAAGGAAACATATCTTTCTATATGTTTATGACTAAATGTATGTTGATATTGATTTACATATTGATGTTAGGCACGTTGAGACATGTAAGTTGTGAGTGGTACAAAAATATTATTTGTAAATCATTCACACATGGAATAACTATCAAACACACGTTCTTGAGTAGTTCTGCACATTTGTCCTGTTACAACAGCAAGTTAAACATGCAAATAGCACATGAATCATAGGAAGTCGACTTGAAGCATACACATATTGATGTCTGTTATCAAATGTCAGGCCAGATCAGGAAATGGAATAGAGAACGGATATTTACACATGTGCATGTATATTTCTAGAATTGTCAATTCCGGACAAAACTGCAGGATGTTTCTATAATATGTATTTGTATCCTGCTCGGTGCTTGCCAATTTCTTGTTTACCGTTTCTGACAACTGTTGGCACTGGTGCCGTGAAAGGTCGGCGCCGCCACATGGTGGGCACTAGCCATCACTGCCCAGTTGGACCACATGATAGTAGCTGCAGTAATTTGATTAGCCTTATTATTAGTGGTGGTGCCTGAAGCAATTGTATCCTTGCTGATTGTGGTGGGGACAGAATGAAAGCATGCAGACATGTATTCGCAGGGGGATTTATTTTAGGAACTAGATGGACAGCTGGGATTTGACCATGCACTGACTAATGCAGGATCAGAATTATTATGATTAATCACCCAGCTGGGTTCAAATTGTTACTGGGCATGCTATATCATTACCAGCCTTGTAGTGATAGTCAGAATAGTTTTCTTTCAATTTATTAATTGAAAATTTGAATGCACCAAATGTGAAAGAAATTTCTTCCTGAATTTTTTACATTATATTTACAGGACTGTGAATAAAGAAGAATACTAAAGTGTGTTTTCTTGAAATGGTTATATTCCATGAAATTAAAGATAAAATAAAGTAGGAATATTTGTAGTTAATCATGCCGTCCTCTCTCTAACAGGGTTTAGTTAAAGATTAGCGTGAACATGTTTGGGATCAGGTTTGATGACATATCAGTGTTTGAAATTTAGCATGAATGCCAAATAGGTCTTTGGTATAACCATAATGTTTAGAATCAAATGTTTAGGGGTCACCAACATCTTACTTACCCATCAATACCCAACCCAGAGATCTGTCCACCCATCATCCTATCCGTCCATCCACCCACCCACCCACCCACATGTCCACATGTTCATTGCTGTAGCAGTGGACCTCAGGCACGCCATGGCCCCTTACTTCATAGCGTTGTATATATATACATATGAAAGCTAATTTGAAACAAGAAAAAGACTTTAGGCTTTGTTGTTCCTTTTTGAAGAAATATAATGCCCTGATATAACTGGAATACTGTTCAAAGCGGTGTTACCCCCAACTCACTCACTTGTTACTGAGAAATAAACGACTTAGGGTTGGTATGGGAGTTGTGTAGCACACCCCTTGAGATTGACCCAGTTTTTCTTCAACCCCTGTGTAATACTGTGTCAAGTGGTGGCAGGTGGGGGTAATTACAGGTGTCTAGGGGAGGGGGAGGGGGAGGACCCATCACCTGTTGTCCTGGGGCTCTCTGTTATATATATTCCTCCCTGTGGTATAACTGGGTTATTCAATACAGTTTCACTTATAGTGTATAACATGTCTTACTCGTTTCACTTTGTTCATTTGCATCTATTTTGACAAGTTTGTTTTGCCAAAAACAATATTGGTTGGAGGATGAGTTTAAAAGTGTCAGGTTGTTTTTTGTAATAGTTGGAAATGTGCTATTTCAGTAAGGGAATATGACCGTTTTCATTTGAAACATTTATTGGTTTCTGTCGCTCTGACAAGGCTTAATATGATTTTTAACAAACAATCAGAATGATTTGAAATGATTCATGTAGGTAGTAAATACAAAGGTATTTGGCAGTAGTAGTGAGGGCAGCCAGTGCTGGGTGACCGACTTCCGTGGTTGTTGAAGCGTTGTAATGAAACTCATCATGTAGGTGGGGAGAGGGCAGCTTCCGGAACATGAACAATTAGCAGCAGCAGCAGCAGCAGCAGCAGCAGGGACCATTTCAAAACATGTTGATTGCATTATTATCATTGTGATCAATGTTTTATCAATCCAACCAAAGGTTGATATAGTGATTATTGATCTCACCTGAGTATGAGGATGATGTTCGTCTATAAGTTAATAGCAGACAATTGCCTTTGGAAACGTTATCTACGTAATACTGTAAACTATGGTTATAACAAACTCAAAAGGACCAGTAATGTTAGTTCGTAATAACCATAGTTCGATATAAGTGTATATACAACATATATACAACAAAAGGCCAGGGCTGAAAAATAAGTTTGTTATATCGGTCAGTTTGTTATAAGAGTGTTCGATATACACGTAGTTTGCTGTATCTATGATCAGCAACCATTGTGGCCGACTAATACCCATTTTAGCACAGTTTCCTGGTATCTGTTATTACCAACAAGTTGATTATCTTTAGGTCATGCAATTTATTTCAAATATTTTATTCTAATTTGATTTAGAGATGGAAATACATTCATTTAACTTTTGAAACCAGCCCTTCAGTTGTGATAATACAGTTGTGTTATTGACTTGCGATGAAAGATCAATACAGGTGTAAACTGCATAAATCAGATGCCGATCCTGTATGATTCATTGTACAGATCAATGTGGGTGATGTCGCATAATTTGTTTATTTACTACTTAATCAATATAAGCTTCATCCCAGTTTTACAAACAATTAGTAGGATTGTGTTTGACCGATTAATGATTATTGTTGTGTCATTGAGGGCAGTGTGGTTCAATGTGATGCAGTGTTACAGGGTGCAGAGGAGAATGTGCTGATGCAGCATTATTTGAGAGCATTCATGCATGCATTCATGTGTCATGTAGATGGAGATTTGGGATAGGATGGTGGGTGTGTGGACAGATAGGGGTGAGTAGGTAGATGGAGAGGTGGATGGACAGATCTTTGGGTTGGGTATCGATGGGAAAATAAGACATTGGTGAGTAGGTAGATGGAGAGGTGGGTGGGTGGATGGACAGATCTTTGGGTTGGGTATCGATGGGAAAATAAGACATTGGTGAGTAGGTAGATGGAGAGGTGGGTGGGTGGATGGACAGATCTTTGGGTTGGGTATTGATGGGAAAAAAGACATTGGTGAGTAGGTAGATGGAGAGGTGGGTGGATGGATGGACGGATAGATGGATGGATGGGTGGACAGATCTCTGGTTTGGGTATTGATGGGGAAAAAAGACATTGGTGAGTAGGTAGATGGAGAGGTGGGTGGATGGATGGACGGATAGATAGATGGATGGATGGGTGGACAGATCTCTGGGTTGGGTATTGATGGGGAAAAAAGACATTGGTGAGTAGGTAGATGGAGAGGTGGGTGGGTGGATGGACATGTGGGTGGGTGAGTTGGTTCTTGGACCGATGGAATGTATATGCATCCAATTTGATGCTGGAGTTTGTCATCAAAGCTTGCACATGATCAGTTAAATGTTAGGGCATGAATACAGTTGCCTTTCTGACAATTTTACTTCCAATATCTGAGAAGTGTACCTTTCATTCAAACCACAGCAATATTGTCTGTCTTTTCTTGTAGTTATACTAATGATATACTCTTTATAACTCTTCATTGAAGGTAATTTTGTCTTACAAAAAACAACTAAAATTAATTTATTGTTATATCAAATCAAGTTCCGATGAAGAGACTATGTAAAGTCTAGACAAAACCGTTATTGTAAGACTGTATATTTAAATCTGTTATTTTTAAAACAGACTGGGTCCAGTCCAGGCAACATGCCTTACGTTGTTTTTTTGTTTTTTTATGCTGTCTATATTTAAAAATCTGTTACTTTTAAAAAAGAGACTGAGTCCAGTCTAGGCAACATGCCTTACATTGTTTGGGGCTCTTTAGACTGTCTATAGTTAGAATCTGATAATAGGGAAACATCTGTGACTGACTATGTTAATATGTTGATTACGATAGTTTGACAGAGGTGACTATTCACACATTATCAAGTGCCGCTAATGACAAAATGAGTTGAACCTGTGAAGTACCCAACATGAAAAGCCCCACCATGTTACGTCTGAATTACCCAGTAATGCTTTAAGTACATTTGACACCTTATGTTCTCCCATTCACAGCCAATATTGCAAGTGTAGATTCACTTATAAACCATCCAGCCCTGCGCAAGTGGAGATGTGGTAACATTTATAAAAACTCTCAGCCCATTATACAATCGTCAAATCATTGGCACTGGATTCCACCATGGGTGGCATTGTTAGCCCAATAATCATTTCCACTTGTGACCTCTTCACTCCCTCTGAGTGAGAAGTGTCCTTGCCCCCAAAGAAAAAGTCCCTCCCAAGAGGTCCAAGTCCCTTGATGTAATCAGCCTTATTGTAACAGGTTATTTAGCTACGAGTGAGTCACTCTTGATTAGGATGGAATTCACAGAGAAGCCTGCCATTTGATTGATGTCGAAGACGACAACCTTCGTTCATGGGCTAAATGAAGTAATCATTGAGATTTAGTATCGGGACTGTGTTTTGGGACAATTTTGGTGATGTGTTTTTTTGGAAAAATTTGCAATTTTTTCCTGGCAGATTGATATTTGTATTGACAAAGTGATGAATGCTTGAGACACGGATACTCAGGCCACACTTTTTTAATAATATGTTTTACAGATTTATTCCAGCTTTCCCACACAAGGTCATTGGAAAAAAATACAAATAATTTATAGCTATGTCATTTATTTATTTATTTATTTATTTATTTATTTATTTATTTATTTATTTATTTATTTATTTATTTATTTATTTATTTATTTATTTATTTATTTATTTATTTACTTATTTATTTATTTATTTGAAAGTCATTCTGCCATGGAGTTAAAAATGAAACTGGCTCTGTAATCTTTGATAGTGATGTAGACATGGAATTGATTTATACCGTAATAACATTTCATTTTATACAAGAGGGTTTATATTACTAGTGAGAGACAAAATGAAAATTATTTTTTTTATGTTTAATTTATTTCTTTTCCAGCTGCCTTTCAGTAGGGGCGATAGGCCCGTGAAACAAAAAAATAATAGATGTATGTATGGCCTAATCCTTCAGGAAACTGTTTTTGCTTCAGTATTGTGGGATTGATTGAAGGACATTGGTAGAGTGTGTGTTGGTGTTAGGATATGACATGAAACTGAGTAACGTTAGTGGTAGGGAAAGTATTACATGATTAACAGTTGGGACATGTCCTATGCACTATTACAAATAGAAAGGAGAATGATATAAGACATCTTGTTAAATAAATAATGGAAATTGCACTAGGAGTGCAGCTACAGTCAACACTTTGCCTAATTGTTATTGAAAAATGACATATTGTAGTATAGATGAATTCATTATCAACATTTGTTCTAAATTTTGTTAGATTGGAACTAACTGGAATTTGTATGTTTTAGGTCAACATTTTGCTCTGTGACAGTCTTGTAATTTACAGGGGCTGTAATGAAGAGAGTAAGACATGAGTCCAATACCCTTCATGGGTACAGTGTGCAAGGGGCCTCACTCACTCAATAATTCACCCATTTACTACCCCGTGGGGATTCCAGGTTAGAATTTCGGAGGTGGTGTAGCCTAGTGGCTAAAGCGTTCGTTCATCAGGCCGAAGACCCGGGTTCGATTCCCCACATGGGTACAATGTGTGAAACCAATTTCTGGTGTTCCCCTGCTGTGATATTGCTGGAATATTGCTAAAAGTGGCATAAAACCATACTCACTCAATCACTCACTACAGTGTGCTCGGGGACATTTCTAGGTGCCCCCCACAACTTTGAAGCCCAAACTCACTCAGTAACTCAATAATTGGTTAGGTTAGAATTGCTCCCCCCTAAGTATGAGGCTTTGCTCAGTGACTTGGGTAATGGCGTGTCATTGTACTGAGCTTGGATCTTTGCACACGATATCAATCACTGGATTGTCTGGTCCAAATTCAATTATCTACAGACTGCAATCATATAGTAAGAATATTGTTTGGCTTTAAACAACCAGTATGCACACACACACACACACACACACACACACACACACACACACACACACACACACACACACACAGAAAGTGTCATGATGAACTGCAGCCATGGTTAACAAAATCAAGCAAGGCAGGGTTTTTGAGGCGTAAATGGTTGAGATGAAAAACTCCTGATCAATTAGATCTTCCCCAGCAGTAACACTATAACTGTATTAATGCTGTCATGTTTTCAAGAACTGTAAATTGAAAATTGACTTGAACTGAAGGGTTAACCTATGTAGAAACTAAAGCATGCTCTGTCCTGAATATCAAATCATTTCCACCAGACTTCATATGATGTATTAGTTCTGACGTTTCCAAGTGTAAAATTCCAGGACAATATTCCGCACACGCCACTCTCAGAACAGTCTAACCAATGTAAAGGTGACTTAGGTGAATGGGAGTTTATTATTTTTACCAGTGTGCCTTTACGTTATCATTCTTCAGTCAAGTGATGAGAAAAATGAATTGTTTTCCTGGGATCCAAAGATAAGAAGACTCCATGTTGGGAAAATAATAAAGTGTAATCACCTTCTGACAGAGACTACAAAGAGGAAATGTTGCACTTGATGTGACTTGCTTCCCACAGAAATATGCATTATCATAAGTTGTAAATATCTCCTATTCACCTGTCCATTTCATGTTAAGCGACAACCCAGCTGTCTTAGTGAAACACTAGAAGCTACAAAAATGTCCGGAGTTTTTGTCATTGAGTACATCCCAACATTCTTCAGCTATTCTCATCTTATATGGGTATAGGAGCATTTCATTATCTGTGTGTTTGCAAAAAATGGATTCGTTTTGGAAAGTGATATTGTTGAAATTGATGATGTGAGAAAGAGTGATTACAATGTAAACATTGTGTCAAATGATTCAACAGAAATGTTGAACTCAGGGGGGAAATATATTTTGCTCTTTTTTTTTTCCAATGCTTCATAAATATGGAAAGTGTTTTTGTGGCCATCTTGTTGAGGAGACTGGGATGTTTTACCTAAGTGTAAAACAGTGATGCATTGAATTTACGACTTCACTTTTGACACATCGTAAATTCTAATGTGATAAAAGATTTATGCAAGGACTTCCCATGTTGAGTGTTGTTAAGGATGCGTATGGATTCAGGCTATCGTCACACCATTCACAGAGTGAGTGAGTAGGTGTGTTTTAATTATGTAGACAGGAACAAATTTAGGGTGTAGTTGGACACTAATATTCCTAAGAGATTCATTTTCATCATTTTTATGGTCCTCAAATTTTTAGGGGGGCATCGGGGGCTCTGTCGTCTAAGGTGCCGCAATTTGCTGTGTAGAGATGCATCCAGAAACCTATGATTGTGGGTTCGAATCCTGGTTCGCCCCGATTATGATTCTAGGTTTGTCAGCACCATACCTGTGCTCGTGGGTTTCACCAAAGTGGTAAACGTCTAAGACCTGCATCACTTCAGGCTTTCCTCCCACATTTAGCTGACACGCCGTGATATAACTGGAATACTGTTAAAAGCGGCGTTAAACACAACTCTCTTACTCACTCAAAATTTAAGAATTGCCATCATGTGTCTGGAATATTGCTGAGTGCAGTGTTAAACAACAAAATCATGCACGACTGGTCTGCACACATTTAGCTGAAATATTGACCAGCACCTACAGTACCCAGCTGTCATCTTGACCACCCAATCTCCAATTCCAAAGGTTCTATGATCAAGGAAACCAATTCTGTCATGGAATTACCACAAGATACTATGACAGTGAATATGTAAGGATTTCAAACAGCCATTCTTATTGCAGAATATATTTCATAAATAATTCTCACCACTTAGGGCACAGATGATGTATGAAGTGGGATGAAATATGTTTTAAATATGTGACATTTTGAAATGAATATCAGTGGCATATCACGGTGTTGGAGCTAGTTGTAGGGGAACATTACCCAGGTGGGTGATCTGTTTCTGGTTGGATGATGATTCCAGAACTGCACCTCATCAATGTCAATTACTGCAATATGCGTGAGAGATACACAAAGACAGGAACACCACTTGTGCCAAAGACAGGAACACCACTTGTGCCAAAGACAGGAACACCACTTGTGCCAAAGACTTCCAAATGTCTCGTATTACTCACTCAGTATATATAGAATAAATTGGCAAATGGTTCCTTGTTTTTGGACCCATATTTACAATACAAGTGACTTAAAAAGCAAATATTCTCTCAGAGTCTGCTGTTACGTATTGAAAAGGCGACATGTTTTTTTTAATGAGAAATGTGTATCTCAAGCAGGACAAATTAAACCCGCTATAGACAGAACGGGTTGCAAGACTCATGTTAGGTCAGGGGTGAACTAAGAATCGGTGTTGATGGAAAGCACCTGGCACCGGTGCCAGAGGATCTGGCAGTTATACACCAGATTAATTCGTGCCTGTTGTGTTATAACACAGGAGATGAGACTAGCAGATTCAGTGATAAGCCTATTGAGGTGGAATATTGGAACCATATTTTCATGTTGTGCCAGGATTTTCGAAAGATGATGCTGATAAGAAACAACACGATATTGTGTTTGGCATGTAGTTATATTCCTAGGGGATTGTAGTTTATTTTTGTGTGTTTTTATTCCATATATGGATTTTCATCATGCACATGAGAGCTGATTCCACACGGAAAAGGATTATCTTTTGATTTTAAAGAATGTAATCACTAGAAAAGTATACACCTGCCTGGAGATTGTTCTGTGAATTTTTTTCAAGAATTGATGGAAATGCAGTGATAGACACCTTCAAGAACATTGTCTTTGAAGACAATATTGGGATTCTATGTGTGAATTACAAGTTTTGACGGACATGATTATTGAGAACTAGGTGAATGAGGCTCGGTTAATAAGATACACACATACACCCTTTGGGGAATAACAGTTATGGCTCGCACAAAGGTCAACTATTTCGCCCGATGCCGAACTTCCCGCAATTAGCTGTGATTACAGGGAGATGCTCCGCAATGCCCAACTTGACGAGGAGAATGCTCAGCCATGACAATGCAACAATGTCCGATAAGGTAGCAGATTTTTTTACCAAATTTCTGTCTTTATTTAACAGTTTCCAGCGGCCAGGCATCACTGGAAGGCACGAAGAACCAGTTAGTCCCAATGAACGTAAGTTTCATCATTTCTATCACTGTTCTGTTACCATGGTGACTGCTATGGGTCATGTATGTCCTCTCTGCATGAAGCTTGCTCATAATATACATACCAAAATCATTTGTTATGATTTTTGCTGAATTGACTCTTATTGGTGTTGATCTATCGATCTTGAAAGCTCTATTCATGTGGAATCAGAGTGCATTGACCATTCTGCTGGTATGTGCTGCATTTGGTAGATCTGATAATATTTATTCCAAATTCTGAAACAGTCAATAATGATAATTGCATATCTGTATCCAATGTTATTCCTCCGTTATTGAATTGTTCAATTTATTTGCTACAGAAATGTTACATTAACATGTCTTAGCTTTGTTTTGTGGATAATTTAGGAACATTATTTTCTAGTTTCAAGATGAACTTGCTTAGAAATCCTTTATAGACAGTATAATTAGCTGATGAAGTTCAAGCTTCTTTGTTTAAATAATATGTTTGCATGACACTGTTAGACATATATGCATGGCAAGAGTTGTGTTTGAATTTGAAAATGTGACAAAAAAACAATTATTTCAAAATTGGTGTCTTGTAACAATGACACTCATATCAAAAGTAGCTGATACATGTAGAAAGGAATGAACCACTCTGTGACTCTAACCACTGGTCCGAAGCCCGAGTCAAGTACAATTCTGTTTGGTCAAGTAAACTCTGGTAATAATAGTGCATATGACACTAAGTTCTATTGAAGCTGATGTCAAGATGAGGTTCGAGCTTGCAGTTTCAAAATGTTTTTTGCTCATTCTGAAAAAAATACATTGTTTATTGTCACACAAAAAAGCCATAACTCGATTGGATACAGCTATGGAAAAAGAGACTCGTGCAAAAATCTTTCATATCTTCATCTATCTTCAAGTTACAGTTTTTATGCGATATCCCATGTTAAAGAATAACACCCCCTGCTTAAGATGAGTATTAAGATGTTAACTGACACAGTTAGCCCCACAGACTGCGACTAGATTAATGACGTGTTTAATCATGTTTCAATGTGATCTTAAGTATAAGATGTCAAGCTGGTCATAAATGATGATAAAAGACATTGAATTCCTACAACTTTGGTCTTGCATTAATAATGAATTATCTTTTGTTTTCTTGTTTTTTTTAGGTTTAGTAAGTTTTAGACGCCTTCCTTTAAATTAAATTTTTATAACCATAATTTTGAAGCAATTTCTTTTGTATTTACATGTCTGGGTATGTCCGACACATGAGAGTCCTCAGTAGGTGGAAAATCTCTCGGTGTTAGTGATCAAAGATATCAGTTTTCACAATAATTATCGTCACTAATCAAGTCCAGTCTGGTCTTTTGCTACATTGTGAATGCCCCAAACTTGCTGACAGTTTTGTGTTATGTTTTGTACGTTGCCAATCTCCTCCTCCTCCTCCTCCAACCCTACAGAGGTAGGCTGTGGACATTGCCGCCATCTATGTCAGTATATGTATGTATGTATGTACCTCATCAGGGATATCCGACTATGCCGAGATTGTGGAGGAAGACGGCGACTATAGCACGCCTGATGGTAAGTCCTTACTGTCTCACACGCACATGTTTCACACTCGACTTTATCCAATCTATTCTCTCACTTGCACAGATATTGTATGGTGTGTTTAAGGCCTGGATCAGTTTCTTCCTTGTTTGTTTTTTGTTAGGTTTTCGTAATTATCAGGGCGTTCATGATTCAGGGAGATTTAAAGTCCGTCTCTTTTATGAGTTGCTATCCATTTCAATTTGACAAATTGTTATGTCCTAAATCATTCATCAACACAATCTTGGAAATATTGGACAGGGGACTTGATATTTATGGAGCTGTACACGAACTCTGGTTTTCATATCAGCACAAAGTGTAGGGGTTTTTACGTTAGGGTCTTATGTTTCAAAGGAAGGAACATTGATGTATTCAAAGAATGCTAGAGGAATTCTACTTCGATAAGAACACGCTTATGATGTGTCCAGGAATTCAGGGTATTCCATTTACTTTTGTGACAAACTCAATATCAGAAAAATATTTTGGAGAAATTGTCTTAAATGAATTGATATACTCACAGATCACATGCTGTACATTTTTCATCCTCTTAAGTCGGACATGGAAAAATTGACCTGACTTGTTTAAGAATTTACTTTCTTCTTTTATTTGTTTTTAGAATCTGATAATATTTTTTTTCGGTGTCTCATAATTTATCTGATCATTATACATGGTTGTTGTGTCTCGTGGTGTCTTGTGTTTGTACAGATGTGTTCAGTTACTGCAGAGATTGAGGAGACATGGTCCTGTACTTGTCATTAAAACAGTTTTACTTTTTAAAAAAAAGATAAAATTACATTATATACATGTATTATCAGTGCATCATTAGAAAGGTGTATTAATAGGATATGAATAAAAACAGTATAAATAATGGATGTCTGATTCTGTTTGTGCCACAGATAAAATCGCAGAATTCTATCTGTGACATTAGCAGACTTTAATATCACCGAAATGTGTCATAGCATTTTTATGCAAAACTATGACAGCTGTATTACACAGTAATTTGATCGGGTTGGCTTTCATTTTCAAGTTCATTATCAGTTTCAATTTTTAGAAAAATTCAATTGGAATTCAAATTGTAATGTGTCAGCCAAGATTGAACTCTTCGTTTAACTCTGATTTATGTCAATTCACACAAATGACAGCATAATCAATTTCACAGCTGTTGAATTCAGATGAAACAGACACCATTTTTTGTCCCCGAAAAAAAGTCCAAATCAATTGTTGAGTCATCATGGCTAACGGTCATCTGTCTGAAATCTCCCCAACCTCTTCCAGCTATCATATTCTGATAGAAAATATCCCCTGTGTTGCCGCGTTACTCCTGCACCGCACATCCAGTAATTTGGGGATTATTCACTTGAAACGATCAAAAATCTAATATTGAATCCCAGGATTATTCTAAAAAAAAGATTTGAGTGTTTGACTTTTTGATGTTTGGGGTTTACTCATCGAGGTGATATTCATTTCAATGAACTTCCTGACATTGTTGCGCTAGAAGACAACTGGCAGCTGTCATCAGTTGTTTTGCGCCATGTTGTATAATACCACGATTGCAATACTGATTAATATGGCATATCTAATTCCATCTCCCACTCAGTGCTCCGACTGGGGTCCATTGTGTCTGTTGTTTGATATTCGAGAGCCGACTTTAGATTGAGACATTAAAGAAAATAGGCTTCATTTTGAAATAGAAATCAGCTTCTTTAAATATTTCTTTAACAGGATAGTTCAGTCATTGATTTCGCTTTGAATTTTCTTTTCTGCAAATTACAAAGGTAATGCAAATGTTTTGAATGTTATGAAGAGCATCATTATAGAAAGTTACTGCATGTCATTGTGGAAAGGTAATGTTGGAAAAATACATTATGTTGTAATGAATATTCTGAACTTTATTCTGAGGGACTGATTTGTCTCATAATTACAAAAATGTTACGTAATTTTTTATTTTATGTCAGTTTATTGTCAATAATATCAAAAAGAATAGAATAGAAAACGACCACCCTCTGAACAAGTGTAGTAAAATAATTGTTTTATTACTTTAGATATAGGGGCAGTCGGGTAGCCTAGTGGTTAAAGCATTAACTCGTCACGCCGAAGACCCGGGTTCGATTCCCGACACTACTTTAGATATATGATTTATAGAATGGATATTTAAAGCTATTGTTTTGTAATATAATGTAAGCATCTACATTCTTGTCATCAGTTGTATCATTGTCTCTGTGTTCATTTCACATTGCTAAACCATCCAGCCTCACCGCTACACTAGAGTCAGCTTTGCTTGTGTGAAGTGATACGCGAGGGACTTTATTTCCCCTCGGAGAGAATGATGAGAATGTCAGCAGTATGGCTTTCACCTAGAGATATGAGGAATGGTGTCTGAAAGTGCACATTCTACCTTCAAACTGTGTTATTTTCCTGTTAAAACCTCAAAAAGACTTAAAAATGACATTTTTGTGAATAATTTTTTTTGCTGCTTTATACAGATTTGTCTTTGACCTTCTATATCCTTGGAGCAAATGAAATTTTCAAAAACGAATAGGAAATTTGTAATATTATTTTTGATTGTTTTGATCAAGGTTATGTGTTTTCACATTCTCATTAAATTATTGTGTTCGACGTAATAAGCGCCCCGCTCTAATAAGCGCCACGGTGATATTTGCTAATATATTGGCAAGTGAACAATCCCAATTAGCACCCCTTCCGATTGATCAATGTACACAAGACTTATTTATTTGCGTATAATACGCACTCGTGTGTTATATGCATCCTTAATTCTGGAAAAATATATGTCGTACATAAACATTTCGGGCTGTCAGCATAAACCACGAAATTTATCTTTCAACTCAGTTTTTTCCACCAAAATAATTTTATATAAGAGCCCCTTTTTTTGAGATTTTGAGAGCGCCCTGGGCGCTTATTACATCAAATATGGTAATATTGAAAAAAATATTTTTATTTTAAATTATTATGAGATCTTAAAATAATAACGGATATGAAATACTGATAACAGGAATGCATAACCAGTTTTGTGTGAGAAAAAGAATGTGCTGCAAGAGATATGTAGGAAACAAATAGGATAGACTAAGGGAGATAACTGGTTTCTCCCATGGGTAACTTGACAAAGACCGACACAGTCTCTGAGCCAGGACCGTCACTAGCGTCAGCGAGGCATAGGTCGAGGTGTGCAGATCCACATATGTCTTACTTTGATCACCTTGTATCTCAGGTGCTCACAACTCGAGAGGTAGCAAGCGAAAGAAAAGTGAGTTCTGTTTCAGTTTGCATGGTGTTAATTAACAGCCACACAAGAAGTGGACAGTTGCCTGTGACTGGATATGACCGGATATGACCAAATCTGACCACCATTGTGTTGCCAGCATGGAACTTAACTGTCTGGAACATGTGTAGCAAATGAGGACTTTTTTATGAGGCTGATAGGAATTGGCATTATGTGGAATCACAGTTCTTGTTTTATCATTTACGTTAAAATTGTTTCTAATTAATTATCAAATATGTGATTTCTTGATTTGAATTCATTTGTACTTCGTTCGTATTTTGTAGTTTTTGTATGTGTTTTTTTTATTATAGATTTTAGGTAAAATATTTCTTGCTTTTATTCAATCAACAAGTGCTTCTTGTGAATATCATTCAACCATGTGGTTGAATAGAGCCAATTCCTACCAAATCGTTCAAAAGCCCTCTGAACTTAATGATGCAACTGTGAATTGCAAAGTGCATTGTGAACAATGAGTGCTTGAAGTGTGAGCCTGTTATGTACAAGTAATCGCATTTTGATCTGATGCCCGTTATAACTCGTATCTATATCTCTCCTCTGCTTATAGGTATGAAGTCAGGATTGTATGGAATGTATATTTAGATGCCATGCTTCTAGATCAAGTATTCTGTGGCTGATGCGAGCCCTGTCTCTCTCCAACTGTCGTCTTTAGTCATGCCTGGACAAGAAATCACTGACATGAACATGCTGTCTATTGTAATTGAAATTTAGGATGAAATATTCAAGTTTGTGGTTTAGCCTAGAGGTATTGAATAAATGGATCCAATTTAATTCAACTGACATTATATATGTAGAGTTAGAATCAATTAACACTAGTGACTAATACTGACATCCATAGTGCATGATATATACAATGTACATGGAACACACAAACTGAAACTGGAAACCAGTAATCAACCATTTAGCATGCATATGATTTCTTACTCTTCTGAATTCTCATGGGGTAGCCTAGTGGTTAAAGCCCACATGGGTACAATGTGTGAAACCCAGTTCGGGTGTCCTCTGCCGTGATATTGCTGGAATATTGCTAAATGCGGCACAAAACCATACTCACTCACTCTGAATTCTCAACATACTTTAAAGAAAATCTTGCCGATTCAGCACATTTATTCCTTTCATAAATGTCAACATTTGCATGGGCTGAGATTCATATGACAAATTTGAAAATCAGTCAGCACTAGCAGCTTTCTCTCAGCATCATGCCACCATGATGATAGGGTGAGCTATTACTGGGGGGTCAACAAGGACATATCGCTGACCATGAGTTGGTGTTTCAGCCCGTGACTATGAGATCATCCGGGACGCCATCAAGCTGGTGGAGATCCTGGGAGAAGGACAGTTCGGAGATGTGTACAAGGGAAACTATATTGACAGGGTAAGTGGCGAGGTTTTATCCATGTGTTAGTAAAACGTTCGGGGATTATGGGTTAGACTTGTCCCCAGCAACCTATGCTGGTCATAAGTGGTGGCTTAATGGGGCATCTGCGGTAGGAACTACCGCACTCTAGTGGGCGGAGCTTATACGAGTGATGTGACTCAGGAACTTGGTTGGTTGCGTCTCATCGTACCCCAAAGACGTGGATCATTGGGCATAGTATCAATCTGAGAATTGCCTGGTCCAGACACGACCTGGTGTCTATACTCACGAAAAACAAACATGTAGGAAGAGAAATGATTTTATACAAAGGGATATTTAAGTCTGGATTTCCTGAGTTGCAGTTGCTGACATTGCTTGCGTCCTGTGTCCCATATTTGGTCATCTGTTGTTAAACCATGACTTGTTCTGGCTTCATTCCATGATCTGAGTGCCGTTGTACAAAACAACCTTAACACTACAACTGTCGTAAGTCTATGTTAAGGAATGGGAGTTACGATCATCTTAGCGCTAAGATCGCTTTGTACAACGGCACCCTGAGCATTAGGATTCACTTATCTTCCATACTTCAATATAGACTTATGTTATTCATAGATGGACAATGAAGGCCATGTCCATTTGGTTCCTTTGAGATTGAATAAACTCAGGATATATTTTCTATAACAAACCGTTTTGTTTTTAGCATCATTGTTTATGTAAAGGATATATTGGAGTTGCGTCCCTTGGAAATCATTGACCGTGGGTTTGAATCCCAGTCAGCCCAAATTATGTGTCTAGCTTTGTCAGCACTATACCAATGCTAATGGGTTCCATCGAAGTGGTAAACGTCAGAGACCGTCATCATTTTGGGCTTTCCTCCCACATTAAGCTGACACACATGATAAAACTGAACCTTATTAACAATATAGTTGCATGTACCTGGTGTCTGTACTCACACAAAAACAAACATGTAGGAAGAGAATTGATTTTATACAAAGGGATATTTAAGTCTGGGTTTCCTGAGTTGCAGCTGCTGACATTGCTTGCATCCGTACATTGTCCCGTACATTGTCATCTGTTGTTAAACCACCGGTTCGCCCCGATTATGTTTCTAGGTTCGTCCGCACGATTCCCGTGCTTGTGGGTTTCACCGAAGTGGTAAACGTCTGAGACCTGCATCACTTCTGGCTTTCCTCCCACATTAAGCTGACACGCCGCGATATAACTGGAATACTGTTAAAAAAAGCGGCGTTAAACCCAACTCACTCACTCACACAATGTTGTTAAACCATGACTGTTGTTCTGGCTTCCTTCCATGATCAGAGCATTAGGATTCACTTATCTTCCATACTTCAAGTTGCAAAGTTGCATGTATCTGGAGGTTGTAGCTAGATTCTTGTGTCCCTGCAGATGATTGTCTAATTTGTTGAGGTGTACACATGACCAGTAAGGGTGATATTTGTGTGATGAGAGTCTTGGTTTTATTTCATCAGTTCAGGGCGGTCAGGTAGCCTAGTGGTTAAAGCATTCGTTCATTACAACGAAGATCCAGGTTCGATTCCCCACATGGGTACAATGTGTGAAGCCCATTTCTGATGCCCCTCGCCGTGATATTGCTGGAATATTGCTAAAAGCGGCTTAAAACCAAACTCACTCACTCACTTCATCAGTTACAAGGATTCGCTCGTCACCACGAAGACCCGGGGTTCGATTCCCGACATGGGTACAATGTGTGAAGCCAATTCCTGGTATCCCTCGCCGTGATTTTGCTGGAATATTGCTAAAAGCAGCATAAAACAAAACTAACTCACTCACTTCATCAGTTACCAGGATTTGTGACTATATCGAACAGCATGCAAGATGAAACAGGATTATGACGTTGCTGTGTATCGTGTGTATCGTGGGTTGCAGGAAGGAAGCCAGGTGCCGGTGGCTGTCAAGACTTGTAAGGAGGACAACGAGGAAGCCATGACAGAGAAGTTCCTAGAGGAAGCCTGTGAGTGTCACTGATACAGCAAATTTACTTCCCAGATACATCAGCTATACTTGACAGACATGTCACATATACTTCCCAGATACAGCAAATATACCTCCCAGATACATCAAATATACTTGACAGACATGTCACATATACCTCCCAGATACAGCAAATTTACTTCCCAGATACATCAACTATACTTGACAGACATGTCACATATACCTCCCAGATACAGCAAATTTACTTCCCAGATACATCAACTATACTTGACAGACATGTCACATATACTTCCCAGATACAGCAAATATACTTCCCAGATACATCAACTATACTTGACAGACATGTCACATATACCTCCCAGATACATCAAATATACCTCCCAGATACATCAACTATACTTGACAGACATGTCACATATACCTCCCAGATACAGCAAATTTACTTCCCAGATACATCAACTATACTTGACAGACATGTCACATATACCTCCCAGATACAGCAAATTTACTTCCCAGATACATCAGGTATACTTGACAGACATGTCACATATACCTCCCAGATACAGCAAATATACCTCCCAGATACATCAAATATACTTGACAGACATGTCACATATACTTCCCAGATACGTCAAATATACTTGACAGACATGTCACATATACTTCCCAGATACGTCAAATATACTTGACAGACATGTCACATATACTTCCCAGATACGTCAAATATACTTGACAGACATGTCACATCTACTTCCCAGATACGTCAAATATACCTCCCAGATACATCAACTATACTTGACAGACATGTCACATATACTTCCCAGATACATCAACTATACTTGACAGACATGTCACATATACTTCCCACTTACATCAAATATACTTGACAGACATGTCACATATACTTCACAAATATGTCACAGATATGTCAATAGGCATCACAAATCACAATATAATTCACACAAATGTCAATATGCTTCACAGGTATGTCACATTATGTTGCATGTGGTAAATGAATCGCTGGTTCATATCTTATCAGTGTTTAGGATGAAACAAAATTTCCATGTTACTATCCTAAAGTTAAAGTTGGCATGTAAACAATGTATACTTCTCAACGTTTGGTGTGGATACCATCCAACATGTCACGTCCGTAAGTAAATATTTTAGTTGATCATGGAATGAAAGTATCCCTATCAAAAGTTGTGTGGTTCACATTGCCAAAAAACTCAGCACATGCTGTTATTTTCTCATCTTATATTCCCAAAAGTGAAATATTTATAAAGTACAAGTATTAAGAACATTCTCTTGGAATTTGAATAACGATATCCCGCTATCCTACACCATGGCTGTAATGTGTTGGTGAGTGCATGTCTTGAATACATGACACTTTTATGGATAGCAACTTCTTTTATTCTTTGAACCACGTTTCAGAGCTACTTCTTGCTCCTTGATCAGGTGAATGCTTAGTAATCAATCAATAGTTGGGAGATTTTACGAGCGCTTCAACCTCTGGCTAATGCTTAGTAAGTGCATAGAGCACTATATATATATAACGTTTACAAAACACACTGTAGGATTAATGTACAAAGATAACAACATTATGACATTGACATAGACATGGGATTAATGAACAAAGATAACAACATTATGACATTGACATAGACATGGGATTAATGTACAAAGATAACAACATTATGACAATGACATAGACATGGGATCAATGTACAAAGATAACAACATTATGACAATGACATAGACATGGGATCAATGTACAAAGATAACAACATTATGACAATGACATAGACATGGGATCAATGTACAAAGATAACAACATTATGACAATGACATAGACATGGGATTAATGTACATAGATAACAACATTATGACAATGACATAGACATGGGATTAATGTACTAAGATAACAACATTATGACAATGACATAGACATGGGATTAATGTACAAAGATAACAACATTATGACAATGACATAGACATGGGATTAATGAACAAAGATAACAACATTGTGACAATGACATAGACATGGGATTAATGTACAAAGATAACAACATTATGACAATGACATAGACATGGGATTAATGTACAAAGATAACAACATTATGACAATGACATAGACATGGGATTAATGTACTAAGATAACAACATTATGACAATGACATAGACATGGGATTAATGTACAAAGATAACAACATTATGACATTGACATAGACATGGGATTAATGAACAAAGATAACAACATTATGACAATGACATAGACATGGGATTAATGTACATAGATAACAACATTATGACAATGACATAGACATGGGATTAATGTACAAAGATAACAACATTATGACATTGACATAGACATGGGATTAATGTACAAAGATAACAATATAATGACAATGACATAGACATGGGATTAATGTACTAAGATAACAATATAATGACAATGACATAGACATGGGATTAATGTACTAAGATAACAACATTATGACAATGACATAGACATGGGATTAATGTACTAAGATAACAACATTATGACAATGACATAGACATGGGATTAATGTACAAAGATAACAACATTATGACAATGACATAGACATGGGATTAATGTACTAAGATAACAACATTATGACAATGACATAGACATGGGATTAATGTACAAAGATAACAACATTATGACAATGACATAGACATGGGATCAATGTACAAAGATAACAACATTATGACAATGACATAGACATGGGATTAATGTACAAAGATAACAACATTATGACAATGACATAGACATGGGATTAATGTACTAAGATAACAACATTATGACAATGACATAGACATGGGATTAATGTACAAAGATAACAACATTATGACAATGACATAGACATGGGATTAATGTACAAAGATAACAACATTATGACAATGACATAGACATGGGATTAATGTACAAAGATAACAACATTATGACATTGACATAGACATGGGATTAATGGGAATAACAATATAATGACGGAGCTGATGGGATAGGATGAACGTACAAAGATAACAATATAATGACGGAGCTGATGGGACAGGATGAACATACAAAGATAACAATATAATGACGGAGCTGATGGGATAGGATTAATGTACAAAGATAACAATATAATGACGAAGCCAATGGGATAGGATTAATGTACAAAGATAACAATATAATGACGAAGCCGATGGGATAGGATTAATGTACAAAGATAACAATATAATGACGAAGCCGATGGGATAGGATTGATATACGAAGATTACAATATAACGACAAAGCCGATGGGATAGGATTGATATACGAAGATTACAATATAATGACGAAGCCGATGGGATAGGATTGGTATACGAAGATTACAATATAACGACAAAGCCGATGGGATAGGATTAATGTACAAAGATAACAATATAATGATGAAGCCGATGGGATAGGATTGATATACGAAGATTACAATATAATGATGAAGCCGATGGGATAGGATTGATATACGAAGATTACAATATAACGACAAAGCCGATGGGATAGGATTGATATACGAAGATTACAATATAATGACGAAGCCGACGGGATAGGATTGATATACGAAGATTACAATATAATGACGAAGCCGATGGGATAGGATTAATGTACAAAGATAATATAATGATGAAGCTAAGGGGGTAGGATTCACCTGATGGAGCAAGAAGTAGCTCTGAAACATTGTTCAAAGAATAAAAGAAGTTTCTAAAATAAAAGTGTTATGTCTTTATTTTCGCCAAATTTCTAAATGCCCATCAAAGACTTCACTCGAGTGCATGTCCTGATGATGTGTCCATGTTTCAGACATCATGCAGCAGTTTGACCATCCCCACATCGTGAAGCTGATCGGCATCTGTTCCGAGTCCCGGCCGGTGTGGATTGTCATGGAGCTGGCAAGGCATGGAGAGGTAGGGGCTGGATCATTTATGGGGAGTAGGGGCTGGATCATTTATGGGGAGTAGGGGCTGGATCATTTATGGGGAGTAGGGGCTGGATCATTTATGGGGAGGTAGGGGCTGGATCATTTATGGGGAGTAGGGGCTGGATCATTTATGGGGAGGTAGGGGTTGGATCATTTATGGAGAGGTAGGGGCTGGATCATTTATGGAGAGGTAGGGGCTGGATCATTTATGGGGAGGTAGGGGCTGGATCATTTATGGGGAGTAGGGGCTGGACCATTTATGGAGAGGTAGGGGCTGGATCATTTATGGAGAGGTAGGGGCTGGACCATTTATGGAGAGGTAGGGGCTGGATCATTTATGGAAAGGTAGGGGCTGGATCATTTATGTGGAGGTAGGGGCTGGATCATTTATGGGGAGGTAGGGACTGGATCATTTATGGGGAGGTAGGGGCTGGGTTAAAATGGTTGGCACAGGGGCTCTTTGGTTCATGGCACTGAGACTAGAAAATCCAGATTAGACAGATTTCAATGTGAAATTATTTTATTCCTGTGATTGTTATTGCAGATGCGAGCTTACCTCCAGAACAACAAGCCTCGTCTCGACCTGGTGAGCCTCATCATGTATGCCTACCAGCTCTCAACAGCACTTTCCTATCTGGAGAGCAAGAAGTTCGTTCACAGGTAAACATAACACTACCATGCATGTATGAATAATGCATCATTCCCAGGCCACCACGTTAATGAGATCAGTGTACTGAACAAATATCTTCCAGATTAATTTATTTTTACAATAAATAATAAAATACAGTTCAAAATACCAGGCTAATAGTTTACCAGTAGTTGTCTGTTTTGCAAATACCCATGGTACAGTAGCTTGTGTGTTGCTGTAACTTTAGTCCTGGTGGAGTTACCTCCCCTTGACAAAATTGAGGTTTCTCCATTCAAGATTAGAGTGTCGTAACATCAGATGATTCGTGTGTGAACAAGTTTCATTTTCAGAATATTATGTGATTTGTGAAGCCATTGCTGTCTAAGATTGTCTTATTAATTTGGAATTATGTTTGTTTGTTGTTAAACGCCACACTCAGCAATATTCCAGCTTTGTAACGGGGGTCTGTAGATAATCGAGGCTGGACAAGACAATCCAGTGATGTAAATCAGGAGCATCGATCTACGAATTGGGATACAATGAAATGCATTAACCAAGTCAGCAAAGCTGACCACCCGATCCCGTTGGTTGCCTCTTAGAACAATCATAGTCACCTTTTACGACGAGAGTTGCTGAAGACCTATTCTAATTCTTCACAGGTTATTTTGAATTATGAATATTTCATGTTTTATCGCAGAGACATCGCGGCCAGGAACGTGTTGGTGTCAGGGCATGACTGTGTCAAGCTGGGAGATTTTGGTCTTTCAAGATGGGTAGAGGAACAAAGTTATTATAAAGGTAATCTCAGTCTATACATTCTTCAAAACATTGTCACAGATTAATGCAAGAAGGATTGAAACAGAATGTATAGTGCCAACCACTATACTGTACATTTCTGATCTTTTGTCTTCTGTTTTACTTGTTGGATATAACCTAAAATGGAGAACCTTGACCTTTCTGTGAAATGTTATTTTTTTTCTGTACATTTCTGGTTTCGTTTGCTTTATTCGATAAAGCCGTAACGAATGTAACATTCCTTGCTTCAGCTTCCAAAGGTAAACTTCCAATCAAGTGGATGGCTCCTGAATCCATAAACTTCCGCAGGTTCACGACAGCCAGTGATGTGTGGATGTTTGGTGAGTCGATCTTCCTCAAGTTTCAGCTGTCATGTATTAAATGGAATTTGAGCAACAGAAGTTCTTTCCTTGTGTTGGTGTATGTATAGCAGGGTGGCGGGGTAGCCTAGTGGTTAAAAATCTCACTCACAGTTGTTGAGAAGTCAAATGTTGACTGGGTTATACTGCGTGGGGACCACTGTTGCAAGAGGCGTCTTTATGAATATGGTGGCCAGTCTTGGGGACTTGGAAGATTGCATGTCATTTTACCCCGATACGTTGTACATAATATCAACCACTGGTTTGCGGGGCCCTGACTTGATTATTTACATGCTACAGTGTTATGAGTAGAATACAGTGATTCGCCATGCAGAGTTATGTCCCTTAGGAGTGCCAGAAACCTTTTATCATGGGTTCGAATCCCAAATTTGTTTTGTGATGTTTCTAGGTTGTCAAGACCATTTCTGTGCTCGTGGGTTTCACCCAAGTGGTAAATGTCTACGATCGGCATCACTTTGGGCATTCATCCCATATGTATGGTGTTATCCTCTTTCAGGTGTGTGTAGGGGGCACGGGTGGCCCAGTCGTCCAAGGCGCCGCGATTCGCTGTTCAGAGTTGCGTCCCTTGGGCACGCCAGAAACCTATGATTGTGGGTTCGAATCCCGGTTCGCCCCGATTATGTTTCTAGGTTTGTCAGCACCATACCCATGCTCGTGGTTTCACCGAAGTGGTAAACGTCTGAGACCTGCATCACTTCGGGCTTTCCTCCCACATTAAGCTGACACGCTGTGATATAACTGGAATACTGTTAAAAGCGGCGTTAAACCCAACTCACTCACACTCAGGTGTGTGTATCTGGGAGATTCTCATGTATGGTGTAATCCCCTTTCAGGTGTGTGTATCTGGGAGATCCTCATGTATGGTGTGAAGCCCTTCCAGGGAGTGAAGAACAACGATGTGATCGGGAAGATTGAGGCGGGGGAACGACTGCCCCTCCCGGCTGGATGTCCTCCCTCACTCTACAACCTCATGTGTGTCTGCTGGCAGTACGAACCTTCCAAACGTCCGTCCTTCGCCGACCTCAAGACATGGTTGTAGTGAGTAGAGTCTGCTACACATACACTTTCATTATTATGTCAGGTGGCTGTGCCCTACTCCTTGTAAATACGGGGCAGTCGGGTAGCCTAGTGGTTAAAGCGTTCGCTCGCCACGCCGAAGACCCGAAGTTCGATTCCCGACATGGGTACAATGTGTGAAGCCCATTTCTGGTGTCCCCCAGCCGTGATATTGCTGGAATATTGCTAAAAGCAGCGTAAAACCATACTCACTCACTCACTCCTTGTAAATACTCCCTGTAAAGAGTTTCATAAAGTATTTGAAACTTCACCAACATCAAGACATGGAAACAGTGAGTAGAATATGCTACAAGGGTTACCATATGCTACAAAAGTGTAGTCCAGGGACCCCCAAGAATTAACTTTAAAGGTCCTTGTAGTCAATATGAGGGTCCTGTAAGGTAATGAAATGGTGTAATGCACAGTACATTCAGATAATTACTTCAGAGCCTGGAATTAATCAAAGAGCCTATGGACAATGGTCATGATCGATTGATGGATGAAGTATTTGTTTTTGTCCTGTTCAGCTTATTGGCTCCAGTACCCATAATTAATGTCCCTGATGTGTTAACAGTGAGATCCTTGAGGAGGAGAGGAACAGACAGGAGCAGGAGATGCACCGGGACAACAGGAGGGTCCAGGCAATATCATGGGGTATGTAGCCTACACCGGGATAACAGGAGGGTCCAGGCAATATCATGGGGTATGTAGCCTACACCGCGATAACAGGAGGGTCCAGGCAATATCATGGGGTATGTAGCCTACACCGGGATAACAGGAGGGTCCAGGCAATATCATGGGGTATGTAGCCTACACCGGGATAACAGGAGGGTCCAGGCAATATCATGGGGTATGTAGCCTACACTGGGATAACAGGAGGGTCCAGGCAATATCATGGGGTATGTAGCCTACACCGCGATAACAGGAGGGTCCAGGCAATATCATGGGGTATGTAGCCTACACCGGGATAACAGGAGGGTCCAGGCAATATCATGGGGTATGTAGCCTACACCAGGATAACAGGAGGGTCCAGGCAATATCATGGGGTATGTAGCCTACACCGGGATAACAGGAGGGTCCAGGCAATATCATTGGGTATGTAGCCTACACCGGGATAACAGGAGGGTCCAGGTAATATCATGGGGTATGTAGCCTACACCGAGATAACAGGAGGGTCCAGGTAATATCATGGGGTATGTAGCCTACACCGGGATAACAGGAGGGTCCAGGCAATATCATGGGGTATTTAGCCTACACCGGGATAACAGGAGGGTCCAGGCAATATCATGGGGTATTTAGCCTACACCGGGATAACAGGAGCAGAGCTCCAGATAAGCTGCGTATCTGCGTGAAATACGCATCAGAAATGAAGAAATACGCAGTAAAATAGAATCCAAGCGTATCAAATACGCAACAAACATTACAGATACGCTACAAAAATAAAACTTGTGCGTATCATCAAAATATTGTGAAGTAACCCTGCGTATTCGATTAGCAAATCAGCAACTTATTTGGAAATTATAAACGGGCATTCCGTCAACCTTGCCAAACTCCACGATGACAGTTACATCATGATCATTTGCCATCACACTTTCGTGTGGAAGTATCGTGGTATTTTTGAGTCCTAGAAAGCTCTCGAACCCACACGACACCAGTTTGCAGGGACTAGATGAATAGTGTTTTTAAATATTTAACTTAAATACCCACATGTGTAAAAAACTAGTGGGTAACAGAAATTTGAATACGCAGATAGAATTACTGATACCCAATGATTTTAAAATGCATTGGTAAAATACCCACAACACCAAAAGCTTATCTGGAGCTCTGAGGAGGGTCCAGGCAATATCATGGGGTATGTAGCCTACACCGGGATAACAGGAGGGTCCATGCAATATGGCCTACACCAGGATAACAGGAGGGTCCAGGGTATATTATGGGTATATAGCCTACACCGGGATAACAGGAGGGTCCATGCAATATAGCCTACACCAGGATTAAAGGAGGGTCCAGGCAATATCATGGGCTATGAAGTCTATCCTTGGATTACAGGAGGTCTTAGGGAATTTCACAGTGATTGTTCATGTTTTATCCAGTGCTTGTTCATGTTTTATCCAGGGCTTGTTCATGTTTTATCCAGTGCTTGTTCATGTTTTATCCAGTGCTTGTTCATGTTTTATCCAGTGCTTGTTCATGTTTTATCCAGTGTTTATTTAGTGTCTGTATGTTCCGATACATTTCAATGCTTTCCTGTGTTCTGTGAAGACTGAATAGATCTATTCAACTTGCAGTTTCCAATGGTTCAGATGATGAGCCACCCCCACCTAAGCCTGCCCGGCCACTCTACCCGGGCTCCACTTCCAACCTCAGCTTCAATTCCAGTGTGTCGTCCCTCCCTCACCAATGGAACTCGACCTCCAACCTCCCGAAGGGCCACAGCACCCCAGCAGCAGGGCCTTCCCCCGACATGGCAGCCATCAAATCAATGGGACGGCCGGACCCAGGCTCACCCCATGTGAACACCTTACATGGATACTTCCCATCTTCCACAGGGTACATGCAGGTGTGTGCGGCAGGCAGGGAGGGTCACTGAGAGGGGGTTGTGGGGTGAGAAGGAGGGGTACATGCAGGTGGGTGCAGCAGGGAGGGTCGCTGAGAGGGGGGCGTAGGGTGAGAAGGAGGGGTACATGCAGGTCGTTGTGTGTGTGGTGGGGGGGGGAGGTGTGAGAAGGAGGGGTATTTGCGGGTGGGTGATGGGAGGGAGGGGCAGGAGGTGAAGGGTGAGAAGGAGGAGTACATGCTGGTGGGGGTAGCAAGGAGGATCATGGAGGGGGGAGTAGATGTGGGTGGGTGGGTGATTAAGCGGATGTGTGAGAAGAACAGAGTACATGCAACGTCAAATCTCTGAGAGGAGGGGTGTTGGGGGAGAAGAGAGGGGTACACACAGGACAGTGCAGCAAGGAGGGTCACAGAGATGGGTTTGGGGATAAAAAAAAACATTTCTTGATCACAATCTACAGAGTTGTAACGTCCATATTGGATATAGAAATGACAGGATAGCAAGGTATCAGGAAACAGGACGTGAAAAGCAGCGATTTAGGCACATCCTGAGAAAACATATTCTGTTTGTATCATAGTCATCATCATCATCATCATCATCATCATCATCATCATCTACACTGTCATTCCCTGATAACCTTCATTATTCCCTTCAGGTGTCTGCTCCTGGTACTACCAACTTCACCACAGGTTTCACCCCCAAGGCACAAATGGATCCTTCCTACCCACCCTACCCCAGTCACAACCACAATCAACACTCCCAGGACCTCATCTCTTCAGGGCATTACCAGGCCCCCTCCCCCCGAGACTCCCTCGTCCTGGGGAGGATCTCCCCACCCCCCACACCCAGAACACAAGTAAGTTGCCCATGGTTCATATGGGGGCACAGGTGGCCCAATCATCTAAGGCATTGCAATTCGCTGAACAGAGTTGCGTCCCTTTGGCATATCAGGAGCCTGTGATTGTGGGTTCAATTGTGTTACCTGATTATGTTTTTAGTTAGTTTGCTGTCAGTGAGATTATATACCTACTCAAACTGAAATTTTCTGACAGTCTTTTTCAATTTCTATGGATTAGACCCAGCTGGCATTAATATGCAGATATCTGAGTATCCTTGAAAGATAATTTCATATCCCCCCCCTATCCCTCATATCCATTGCAGTTAATGTGCATTTCTGTCACTTGAATGTCAGGTTTATCATTCAAAATGAATGGCATTTGATTGGCTGATCAAGCAGTTTCTTTGGCATTTATCTATCCATAAACAAAACAAATAATTATCCAACACCCAACAGACTACTGTTTCTTGATTGGCTGAAAGTGGAGTGGGCGGGGCTTGTGTTGAATTATTGTGCTGTTTATGTACTGTTGTCTTCATTTTTTTGTGTTAATGATTACGTAAGCATTCAGTGAAGTTATCATTGTTGACATATTTATTTAAGAGAAATGATATGTTTGGGCATTTATGGAAGTAAAAGTGTAAAAACTGTGTAAATCTTCCACTCCAGCCAGATACACGTACAGCTTCACACAAAACCCACCTCCTGTCGCTGTGTCAAATCTATGTGTTTGTCCACCATCTCCAAGGCAGCAGTTGCATGGCGATATATGTCCCTTCTGTAGGAGATTATATCATCACCTTGTTCATATTGTATACTCATATATATTGTTGTTTACAAATTCCTGTGTTGGTATCTATAACAGATTGTTTGCATTGTCCATTCAATGATTACTTCTGTGTTATATGATTGAGATCAAATTTGTACATGACAGGGCTCCGTTACCATCATGGTGACATTGTGTCCCCATGTTTATGTGACACTGGAATATTGCGAACGCCCACAAAAAATGCTTATTCACTCACTCACATGTCAAAGCTGTACCAAGGGCTTTCCTCTCACGCACATAGAGGGCGGTCGGGTAGCCTAATGGTTGAAGCGTTCGCTCGTCACGCCGAAGACCTGGGTTTGATTCCCGACATGGGTAGAATGTTTGAAGCCCATTTCTGGTGTCCCCGCCATGATATTGCTGGAATATTGCTAAAAGCGGCGTAAAACCGTACTCACGCACTCCTCCCACATAAAGCTGGCACGCTGTGATATAACTTAATACTGTTCAAAGCGACATTAAACGTAACTCACTCACTCACTTCATTACACTGGTCGTGAAGTTGTTATTCAACATTTGATTATATCATGTTTATGAAAAAATATTGGTTTTATCATGTTTATGAAATAATATTTTTTATATGTTTGTGAAGTAATATTGATATGCCTACAAATAATCCCCTAATACTAAAGTGATCTACATCACAAGAAAGATAGTTGTCAAGTTTCAAGTTCAGGTGTAGAGTGTACTGGTGGTTGTTGCAGGAGCTGGATGAAGAGGAGATAGCGTATCGCCTGCGTCAGCAGCAACGGGAGTCGGAGGAAGATGCCAGGTGGCTGAGGACCGAGGAGAAGAACTTGGTGAGATTCTCTCCACTTTTGTTTGTTCGTTGTTTAATGCCACATGTTCTAGCTATATGGCCACAGTCTGTAAATAATCGAGTCTGGACTAGATCCAGTGATTGACATGATGAGCATCGATCTGTGCTATTGGGATTTGATGACATGCATCAACCAAGTCTGGTTGAAACAATTCGCCTGTGTGCCTGTACATTAATAAGAACAATATAATACACTTTATTGTGTCGATACATGTCGTATTTGTTTGGAGATTGGGGAGTCTTTTACATTTGTAATAGGTGACTTTTTCATTCAACGCTTGATCCGTCATTTCCTGTCTGATCGATTCTTTGTTTTGTTTTTGGTTTGCATTTCTGAGGCCTAGAATATTTTTGGAAAAAAGAAAAATTGTTATGAGGTCATGGAAAAGTTTTGGGAAAATAATTTAAGATAATTTTTACGACTGTAATATATATCTGGTGATACAGCGACAGGCAAATTTATGCTTTGACCAAAGTGAAGTAAAGTTTGAATTGAGTAAAGTTTCTAAATTTTTGAAAATGTCAGGCTAATAGTGTATGAACCCTGAGTAAAGTGACATATATTATGTGACTCAAAATATCAAACAGCTCAATGTCTCTCCATATCACAGAAGGATAAGTTCTATTTTTGAGGTGAACAATCGTACATAAATGTTGGCGGTGCGTTTCTGGCTTATACACCATTATGTGGCTCAAACGACTATGTTGACGTAACCCAATGTCACTCACCGATTATCACTGAAGGATGAGTTCTGTAATTGTTCGACCGGTGGAGATTTGGGGTAGAATAGGTCTTCAGCATGCTTGCCGTAAAAGGCGACTATGCTTGTCCTAAGAGGCGTCTAACGGGATCGGGTGGTCAGACTCGCTGACTTGGTAGATGCATGTCATCGCATTCCAATTGCGTTGATCGATGCTCATGTTATCAGTCACTGGATTGTTGGTTTATTTACGGAATGCTGTCATATAGCTGGAATATTGCTGAGTGCGGCGTTAAACAACCAACCAACCACCCAATCTGTAACTGTTCTGGGGAGGTTGTATGTTTGTTTGCTGTGTGTTTTACCAACTGACTGGTGTGTTGCAGCGGAGAGAGAAGTGGGCAGTCCATAAAGTCCGTCTTGACGATGACAGCGACAGCACAAAGGAGAACTCTCCACCTCTTCCACCGCCACTTAACAAGCCAGCACCAAGACTAGCCAGCCAGGCCTCCAGTGAGTAGACATCCACTCCCTCAAACAAACCAAGTCATTAGAGGATTCCCAAATCCCAGAGAGACTACACAGTCTTGGGCACATTTCCAATCTATGTCCAGACAGGGTCTCCTTACGTTTGCTTCTGGTTCAACCAGTGTTGGTAATTACTTTAAGTTCAGGATAGCCTTGTGGTTGAAGCGTTCGCTCGTCACTCTGAAGGCCCTGGTTCGATTCCCCACATGGGTGCAATGTGTGAAGCCTATTTCTGATGCCCCCCCGTGATATTGCTGGAATATTGCTACAAAAGTACAAGTGGCATAAAACTGTACTCAGTCACTTTAAGCTCAAACCAGACTCACTCTCTCACTCCAGATGTTATTATCAGTGCTGTTTGTGCAACTGAGGTACTGTCTCTGTACAACTAGGGCACACATGTACTGCTGGATTGTTACATAGCAATGCAGACAAAGTGGTGTTTAAACGACTTGCCTGAGACTAATAAATTTCATATACAATATGCCTCTATCAAATTTACACACAGCTAATGGTGGTAGTATGAAGTGTGGTGTATAGAGTATAAAAGCTAATGGTAGTATGACACCTTGCTGAAGTGTGGTGTATAGAGTATAAAAGCTAATGGTAGTATGACACCTTGCTGAAGTGTGGTGTATAGAGTATAAAAGCTAATGGTAGTATGACACCTTGCTGAAGTGTGGTGTATAGGGTATAAAAGCTAATGGTAGTATGACACCTTGCTGAAGTGTGGTGTATAGAGTATAAAAGCTAATGGTAGTATGACACCTTGCTGAAGTGTGGTGTATAGAGTATAAAAGCTAATGGTAGTATGACACCTTGCTGAAGTGTGGTGTAAAGAGTATAAAAGCTAATGGTAGTATGACACCTTGCTGAAGTGTGGTGTATAGAGTATAAAAGCTAATGGTAGTATGACACCTTGCTGAAGTGTGGTGTAAAGAGTATAAAAGCTAATGGTAGTATGACATCTTGCTGAAGTGTGGTGTAAAGAGTATAAAAGCTAATGGTAGTATGACACCTTGCTGAAATGTGGTGTATAGAGTATAAAAGCTAATGGTAGTATGACATCTTGCTGAAGTGTGGTGTATAGAGTATAAAAGCTAATGGTAGTATGACACCTTGCTGAAGTGTGGTGTAAAGAGTATAAAAGCTAATGGTAGTATGACACCTTGCTGAAGTGTGGTCTGGTTTCAGGTGGGAGCAGAAGCAGCAGCACCAGTGACTCCACGGATCTGGGAGGTCCAGTTGGGCAGAAGGTGAGGCACATAAATACACTGGCTTATTTTATTTAAATGCATTTCATTCACATTAAGTGAAATCGATCGGGTAAAAGTTATGACAACAATGCCTGCCACTGAACACATTGACAGTAATTTATTTGCAATAACATGAAAGGATTGACAACAGAATGAGATGTGACTCATTATAGCGAAAATGGATAGAATTATCATTTAACCGCCCGCATGTTATCAGAAATGAGTGGGCCACTGTAACTTGATAATGCCCTCATATTGTTTGACGATGGGCCATTATCACGCCCGTTGTTAGGTGACGTCATAGGGATAGGTGACGTCACATTCAATAGTGACATCATCAGGTTTGTTCTATGACGTTTCCATATCTGTAAAAGTGGGTCAGTGAAATTCGTGTTGATTGCACTAAATGTTTCAAAACCGATATTGTTGTTTATTTTTATTTGATAACAAATTCTGTCCATTTTAGCTATAATAACGGTAACACTATTTTTCAGGGCATTATCATTTGCAGTTAATGGAAGACTTCGGGCTTCTGCAAATGATAATGCCCTGAAAAATAGCGTTACCCTTATAATAATCATGATCATACAGAAAACCAATGTAATCAGAATATTGGCACAGGGTGCACATGTATGCTTTTGAATTGAACCTCTATGTTGTGAAGCAAGATGTGTTTATATTTGCCTTCCATTTTGAAACGTCCAGGGCCAAAAAATGGATTCCTTTCATGGCAATCGTGCAGATAAACAGTTTAACCAGAATATCAAAACAGTGTGCTTTAGTGAAACTAGATTGAACATCCATTCTGTGAAGCATTATGTTTTGCGTTGTGGCTGACATTTTAAAGTTTTCAGGTCCCAAAACTGGATTTTAAGACTACTGAGGAAATTAATACAGCAAGGATTTACTTCTCACATTATCAGGGAGCTGGGGACTAGGCCTGATGAGCAGGATGTCTTGTATTAAGTGGACAATGATCTTGAAGTTCTATCAAATACAAACGATGAAGAATTTCCATAGTTTCAACTTTTATAGGCTGTAAACATTTTGCTGTAGCCAAACGTTTGAGCTGTGTCTACAGTAACTGCATATCTGACATGTCCTGCTCAATGATGTTGTCTCCACGTTGCAGATGGCGTCCAACCTTGACCGTACAAATGATTCCGTGTACCAGAGCACCACCAACGTGGTGCGGTCAGTAATGGCCATGACCAAGGCTGCACCACAGGTCAAGTCGGAGGATTATGTAGATTTAGTAAAGGTAAATAGCAAACCATGCAAGGTTGTCAGTTTAATAATTCCACTGGACTCAAGTGATATTTCTGTGTTTCTGAAACCGTGAAGATCGGGGGTAGATTAGGTCTTCAGCTACCCAGGCTTGCCGTTTAAGGCAACTATGCTTGTAGTAAGAGGTGGTCAGACTCGCTGATTTGGTCGATGCATGTCATTACATTCCAATTGCGTGGATTGATGCTCATGCTATCAGTCACTGGATTGTCTGGTCCAGACACGATTATTTACGGACATCCATAATATAGCTGGAATATTGCTGACCTCGGCATTAAACAACAAACAAAAATATCTCTCTCTGTCCCCAAGCGGATTCCGGGTTAGAATTGGTCCTGAGATACCTATGCTGGTTATGAGAGACAAGTTACTGTATGGGATGGTCAGCTTGTACTTTGACAGTGTGGATGGTCAGCTCGTACACTGACGATGTGGATGGGCTTTCCTCCCACATTAAGCTGACCCCGCGATATAACTGGAATACTGTTAAAGGTGGCGATAAACCCAACTCACTCACTCACTCACTCACTGAGACATTTAAGTAAGAATGTAGCAAAGCTGCAGCTGTAAACAGCTGATTTGATTGTCATATTATTCCTGACGACTTGCTGACCAATGCAGTGTTTTGTTACAGACTGTCGGCCTGCAGCTTCGTAGCCTCCTCGCTAGTGTAGATGAAACACTCCCCCATCTTCCCCAAGACAACCACAGAGAGGTATGTCACAGTTGTCTGCTCTTGGCCAGTGATTCTTTGTCAAAACATACCCCACCATTGTATGTCTTCCAAGGTGGTGGATATCTCCGACCTGGTTCAATATGACTTCCTTCTGACAATAAACATGGGGATTCCAGGTTAGAATGGGTCCACATCAGCCTATGGTGGTTTGTAACAGGCGACTTAATCGATCAGGTGGTCAGGCTTGGTGATTTGGATGATTGTGTGTCATCATACCTTGTCCACTTGGAATGTAGCTCACAATGTCAATCACTGGATTGTCGGGTCCAGACTTGATTATTTACAGGCTGCTGTCATAAAGTGTGAATAATAATAATATAGTTCGGTGTTAAACAACAGACACCCACTTCAACATGGTCACGGGTGGTCAGTTGTCTGTCCAGTACAATTTGCTTGGTAAAGTTCTCTCCCTTTGATGTGTAAGTATCCATGGCTCTGTGCCTGATTGCCATCCATGGATTGTGATCACTGTACACTTCTGAGTTTTACCAATGTGGCAGGTGTTCACTACTCGACTTGATTATTTACAGACCGCCATCGCATAGCTGGAATATTGCTGAGTACGGCGTTAAACAACATGAAACTGAAACTAAACTGACATGCTGTGAAATAACTGATATGCTTTTAAAAAAATATTATTCCAAACTCACTCACTCATTCTTGTATATTAACTCCATGGTTAGTAAGGAGTATGGGTGGCCCAGTCATCCCAGGTGCCGCGATTCGCTGTGTAGAGTTGCATCCCTTGGGCACGCCATAAACCTTTGATTGTGGGTTCGAATCCCGGTTCGCCCCGATTATGTTTCTAGGTTTGTCAGCACCATACCCGTGCTCGTTGGTTTCACCGAAGTGGTAAACGTCTGAGACCTGCATCACTTCGAGCTTTCCTCCCACATTAAGCTGACACGCCGTGATATGACTGGAATACTGTTAAAAGCGGCGTTAAACCAAACTCACTCACTCACTCCATGGATAGTAGTGAAAATATGGATTTACTCAAGCCAAATGGCATTCATGTTAGAATTGTTTCTTGCCCATTGCCTAATGTTGACAGAATTCATACAATGTGTTTTCTTCCTTACAGATTTCTATGGCCCAGAAAGTGCTAAGTACAGATATGGCATCCCTCATCAGTGCAATGAAGCTAGCCCAGGAATATAGTGCTACGACCTTGGACTCGGACTATCGAAAGGGCATGCTTAAAGCTGCTCACTGCCTAGCCATGGACTCGAAAAATCTTTTAGATGTTGTGGATACAGCAAAAATGAAAGGCAGAATGGAAGGCATTAGCTGATTTTCTTGGAGACAATAGTGATTGGATTAAGCTCCCTTTGAAACCAAAATGGCAGCAAACTGTTTATCTGTTGCTATGGAGATAAAGCGCATGTTGTCATAGCAACATATGGGCAGTTTGAGTTGAGTTTTCTTCTGGATGGTGCATGTTTTCAACGAGAAGGAATAGCTGTTAATTACATTAATCTTCAGACAGAATATTCACCATGCTTCACGTCAAGACTACATTCTGTCGCTAAGCTGAAAGCTGATGGATCAATTCTGCGCCCAGTCAGTGTTATTGAATTGGTTCGTATTTGTGAAAAACAGCTGCATCTCTTGAAAAATCTTAACTGGCAGAATTGTTAAGAATTATACATGTGTATCCCCTTAAAACATACATAGTGTTTTGAAGGCATTGAACATGTGCATGAAACACCCTAGGACTGTTTGGTTGTTATGACATGTAAGTATAGTACAGTTATATATGTGTTTAATTACGTAGCTACAGTTCTATCAGTTTATCGCTGCTGTTGGTGATGTTTCCAAAGAGTTTGTTGAAGTTTGATGTTTAAAAACAGTTGACTGTTACAAACCGATGCCGATATATCATTCAGAAAAAGGCGGAATGTTTGGTTCTGAAGTAGGTAAAACCAGAAAAGGTTTGGGTTTTAAGACGTAGGTAAAGTTTAGAGAAGTAGTTTGTGTTTGCAGGTTGAATCCAGTCTTGTGCCATTTAGAAAGTAGGTATTGTTCAGGGTCACAGTTTAACAGATCATGTTATGAAAGATCTCTTTTGAAATTATTGTGAATGTATTCAAAATGTCCATCATCATATTCATCAATTAGTTCATACTTCGTTTCCAAGAACAAATGTGACATCATTTGTGTCCAGGGTTAAATTTTGTACTTACTTTCAACTTGCACAAAAATGTGTAAGATGTCCAAAAGCATGATCTCAGTGTTATAGAATTCATCAGTGATGGGTAATCCACACAAGTTATTAAGGACGAGGTGACAATGAAGGAGGATGAATGAATAAGGCTTAAAAAAATAAAAGAATTGGTTCTCAGGCAATGGTTTTTTAAAATATAGTGCGGGTGGGCGGTGTCTTTTTTTTTTTTTTGGTTGTTCAAACTAGTATGTAACCAATAAACAGTTATGTAATCAATAAACAATTGTGTACAATCAACCTGGGAAAGGGCCTCCCTATATAAATGTATTCCTTGATGAGTAAAATACTGGAATACAGTATTTGACTACCGTTGGACATGGAATATTTAAGGATTTTTTGTGTTTTTCTTAAAAATGGAAATAAAAATGAAACATGCGGCGAACTTTATGATGATGCGGGCGGTGCCTGAGAACCAAGACTTCTTTTCTTTTTTTTTAGCCTAAAAGTCTTAGTGTAATCAACCTTTTACATAAAGCAGTAACAAAATGTTATTTTAGTTTCAAAGAAAATACACTTTAAACAACAAATTGTGGTTAAGAATATGGTACCTACCTACTCCTCGATAATCATGTCTGTCATTGATGTCAATATCTGCAATACCATAGCTGCTTATATGATATGAAATAAAAACAGTTTAGCATTGGTGGCCCTTGCGTAACAAGAGCTGCAATTCGCTGTGCAGAGTTGTGTCCCTTGGGCATGCTGGAAACTATGATCCTGGGTTTGAATCCAGGTTTGCCTGATTATGTTTATGTGTTTGTCAGTACCATACCCGTGCTCGTGGGTTTGACCAAAGTGGTAAACATCTCAGACATGCGTCACAGGGGTCTTTCCTCCCACTTTAAGCTGACGCGCCGTAATATAACGCGAATACTGTTCAAAGCAGCATTAAACACAACTCACTGAGGCAGTTGCTACAATAAATCCAAGTGGACCGGAACTATTATTTATACAAAGTTATGATGGACATCTTTATTGAAATGTTTTTGTTGACTTCTGATTTTTGAACTTCTTTCCAAGGTAGTTTAACATTTGAATACATATGAGTACATATACCCGCTGGAACAAACTATACGTATTCCGAGTTCGAAGTTAGGAGGGACAGCTGGGAAGATGATACTTGTCACTTGCTGACGCTTACAAATAGTTTTTGGAACATGGTTTATTCTTTTGTGTACAAGAATACATGTTGCCAAGTTGTAACATCATGTTGGAAAAATTGTATTTGACACCACTCTTTGACCACAATGAGTATGGTCTAGCCATTGTATTGGAGTATCCTACTTAGAGATTGGGTGAAGATGTCAAACTTTTATTTACAGATCTTATGTTTTTTTCAGAAATTTCATTAAGGTTAATTTTGACCCTACTGGAATTATTTGTTCTAAAAATCATTTATGAAACTTCTTAAAAGAAAGTAAATGAAATTCACAGTATGGGAATTGTCTTATCTTGGAAGCAGTTGGTAGTTGTGTCTGAATCAAATCAAGATGAATCAATATTGGGGTTTGTGGAGAGGGTGGAATGGTAAGCTGAATGTAACACATTCGCTATGTTTTTGTAGATTTATTTCTCATAGTATGAGAATCGTGATGCATGGATTTGCAGTTCTCAGGAAGAGGTGTCAAAACATATCTGAATGTTCAGTTTCCAACTAGATTATGCTGAAGCATCTGTGCAAATAATTTGGAAAAGATGCATCTATATAAATCAGTATTCAAAATGGTTGAGATAACTTCAAATCAAACACCTTTGTAGCTTGAAGGTCATGGTCAAATGTCAAAGCCTGTTCAACTAGACAACAATCTCTTAATTGAATACACGATTATAAGAATGATTCATAAAAATAGCAATGTCCTTATTTATATACCTGTAACAGATAAATATCTGTGACATAAGGGTACTACTCAACTTTTGATAAGGATATTCAGGGAGAGTCGATGTGGGTGACTGACGGCTGGGATATGTTGTCATACAAACGGTATTCAATTTTGTCATGGAACAGAAGCCATGTCCCAGGGATCCGGAAACCGGTCTGTGCGCCGGACTTGTCCGATTGTGACTGCAATATGTCATTGCATATCTCAGCATTATTTCAAGTTGTTTCAACAGTTCAATAAGTTGGTCACATTTTACGTAACACTTGGGAATATCTCTATATCCCTATCAAATGTTGAGAGGTATGTGTGAACAATCTGTGTCTAGCAACTATACAGTAGGACAAGTATGTTTCCGAGACACGGTCGTGTTGACCACCTTTGCAAATATACTTGTCAACTTGTGTCAACTTGAAATGAGAGACTTCTGACTATGACTTCCGTAGTAAGCAAATCCTACCCGCGTCTACTAATGTAAAGTATTGTTTGTGTACATCTCCTTATTTTAATGTATTACATATTGTTAATATATTGTATGTTTTGTATATTTTGTTTAAGTTCTATAATTATTTTAAGAAGTTGATAGCTAACATAACCCTCCTGTACATGTACTGTCCCCTCAACAAGGAGGATTCTGGGAAAAATTTGAGGACACCCAAGTCGTAATCCAGTTGAAATGATAGAAACAGTTTCTGTTTTGTACTTGGATCTAGTGGAAGATTTCAAAAGGACATGCATTTGACCTATGGTGTTGTTTGGATGTTACTACACATACAGGAACTAGTTACACAGTAGCGAAGTAAGGAAAAATAAACAAACTACTTTGCCGAAGTCGAAGTAGACACAATTTATGGATAACAAGTTCTATAATATTCTATTATGGCATCATTTTGGTGTAAACTCTTATACCATTGTTTAGCAAGACTCCGCAAGAAAACTTGTGAATAAAAGATATGCATGTCTTGGTTGATATTACAATGATAACGCTTTAAGGTTCATTGGGAAATGTTGCTAATAATATATTAAAGGACTTATCCATAAGTTGTCACCCGTCATCTGTCAACTTCTAAGAAATGCCAGGGGCGGTCGGGTAGCCTAGTGGTTAAAGCGTTCGCTCGTCACGCCGAAGACCCAGGTTCGATTCCCGACATGGGTACAATGTGTGAAGCCCATTTCTGGTGTCCCCCGCCGTTATATTGCTGAAATATTGCTAAAAGCGGCGTAAAATCATACTCACTCACTCACTAAGAAATGCCTATCTAGCAATTTACCCAAAGTATTGTGTGTATTTGTCAGTTAGGACAAAGAGGAGTCTTGTTTGTGGTTTCTAGACTTGAGATAAATTGATGCGATGAAAAATAAATGTGCCCTTGACACATACTGTAATAAAATACCCAGAATAATAACAGGATACTCGTGGATAAAAGTGATGTATGTGGAAATGACAAAGTTAGTGATGGCCTAAAAAGAAAAATATATTTAGTGAGCTGATTGCCAAATTACTTTCTTCAAACATATTCTGATGTCATATAAAGTATTCCTCTGTAGCCATGGAGGTAGAAAGGGGAAATAGCTTTGGCTTGTTTTAACTATTAAATATCAATAGTTTCAATATCAGAAATTTGGAAAGAATTATAAATAAGAAATCATAGGGAAGATACAAGAATTGTATGTCTATATCAGCATTTTTCCAACTGCTGATTTTTTGTTAACATTTTGTCAAGGTTGAAACTGTAGATTTGCATGATGACTGTAGGTAAGGTTTTGGATGGTGTGTAAGAATGATTATGTTTAGACATAGGAGATTGATTAACACAGACAATGAATGCTTTGATGGTTGTGAACAGAGTAGATACTCATACGGAAGAATGCTCAGTTCCATATTTTTTAAAAGGACATATTTTGCTAAAGATTGCTATAACGGATTGAGAAATTACCACATACAGTTTCAACTGGGTAATCAAGATATACCTTAGCTTTATCAATGTCATGCTTATTGATATTTGTTATTGAAGTTCTGAAATGTCTTGAAATTTTACATTTTCTACACTATTTATACAAACAATGTTAAGACTGTCAGTTCATTGTCATGTATATTACAAATCTGTTTGGAAGATGATGTTGATTTCTCTGATAATATGGCATTTGAAAAATATAGCTTGAGTCTGTTGATAGGATGGTGCTGATATATGTACTCTAATGCATTTATCTCTTATAGGGTTAACTATGCTGAAATGCTTAATGGCCGATCATGGGGACCATCTCAAGATAATAAATGAAACAATAAATTATATATGTCAAAGTAACATTTCTTGTTTGCATTGTCATTTTATAACATATCAAAGTATTTATGAACGATACATCAAGCTTTAGAACATGTTGATATTTGGGTTTGATTTCAAATGTTTTGAGATGGTCCTTGTATCTCTTTGTCTTCTATTCCTCATTGATCCTTTCTCTGCCAACTCTTTCCTAATGTACAACTCAGTCCTTCTTGACATTGTACATACTCATTATAGATATTTTCATATTGTTTTCATCCCAGCTTTCAACTTGTCATGTATTGTAAATAAGCCAAAGCCAATAAAATATTACAAGATGGCCAGATCCCTTGGTGATTTTTGAGGTATAAAGACATACTAAATATACTACTCAGAAATTAAAGAACACCTAATCTTTTTCATAACTGTAGGGGCGGTCGGGTAGCCTACTGGTTAAAGTGTTCGCTCGTCACGCCGAAGACCCGGGTTCGATTCCCGACATGGGTACAATGTGTGAAGCCCATTTCTGGTGTCCCCCGCCACGATATTGCTGGAATATTGCTAAAAGCGGCGTAAAACCATACTCACACACTCACTCACTCATATTAACTACTGTTTGTGGGAAAGTTTGAAGGCATCAATGGCTTTACGTTCCTTTTCGGATTATTTAATGACCATCTGTAAAGAAATTTTGCATACATTGTTTCTCTGCCTTGGTCTGCTTCTCTGCAGGAATGGATTCTGGAGATACAGATGTCCTTAATACCCAGTGCTTGTAGTGTGAGACCCTGAAAATGTTGCACAAGAATATCTTATACAGTATTTGCAATACAGTTAAGCACAATAAACTTCGCGCACTAAACGCCTCGCTGGTAAACACAGCATAAGCTGCATTATTTAGGCTATCAACTCTTGGTTATTATGCATCTTGAATTTGGAGCACGACCTCTGACTGAAGCTATATAATCAAGGAGGAAATCAAGATTAGAAGGTGTATCTTTATGCTTTGACTTTTGTGCATTCCTGAAAAGAGCGCAAGACTTTTGTCGGATGTACCATGCATGAACGAAGAATAAGAACAGATTGTGAATTGTTTTGGAGTAAATAGTCATACATGGATGTATGAAAGAATGTTCCCACGGTTGGACCAGAGTGTACAGACTCTGTTTTATCAGTGTTTAACGTCAATCTCCAAGGCAAGTGAGTGAGTGAGTGAGTTTGGTTTTACGCCGCTTTTAGCAATATTACGGCGGGAACACCAGAAATGGGCTTCACACATTGTACCCATGTCGGGAATCGAACCCGGGTCTTCGGCGTGACGAGCGAACGCTTTAACCACTAGGCTACCCGACCGCCCCTCCAAGGCAAGTGATGAAGAACAGCACCCAATGACCCGATGAGCAAGTATACATTCTACTGCATGATGGCGACTGGTGCACCCGTTGAAGACAAGGCTGTCTCAGGATTTCAACTTCATTTTATGCAACATTTCGGTAGATGCTGGGGGCATGGGTGGCCCAGTCGTCTAAGGCGCCGCGATTCGCTGTGCAGAGTTGCGTCCCCTGGACACGCCAGAAACCTATGATTGTGGGTTCGAATCCCGGTTCACCCCGATTATGTTTCTAGGTTTGTGAGCACCATACCCGTGCTCGTGGGTTTCACCGAAGTGGTAAACGTCCGAGACCTGCATCACTTCGGGCTTTCTTCCCACATTAAGCTGACACGCCGTGATATAACTGGAATAATGTTAAAAGCGGCGTTAAACCCAACTCACTCACTCGGTAGATGCTAGTATCTGAATCACGCCTCTTACCAGCACCTGTACCTAGTTCCAGCATCTGTACCTAGTTCCAGCATCTGTACCTAGTTCCAGCACATCAAACCTGTATTTTGTATGCTACAGCTTCTCATTGCTGCAGATGTCCTACAGTCTGTACGCCTGGCTCCCTTGACTATTCACCTGTGGGGCAATCTATCATACATCGAACACCCTGACCTACAACCCCTGTGGGGATTCTAGTTGAACATTGGTCTCCAAAGACATGTGCCGGTCGTAACTGACGACTTAGTTGATCGGGTGGCTCGTTGACTTGTTAAATTTAGAGACGTTCTGCCGCGACGACATGGATCGTGGCTTACAATATTACCACTGGATCGTCTTATCCAGATTCGATTGTTACATGCTGCCGTCGACTACCTATAGACTATTGCTGTGTGCAGCGTTAAACAACACACAGACAGATGAACACTGTCCGCTGTAAGAGCAAAGACACTACAGAGTCATCAATGCAGCTAGTCATTGACTTCTCTCACCACGATGGTTTACAGGTTTACAGGATTATAGGAATATCCCTGTATCTTGAGCGACCGCCTCCGTGGTCTTGTGGTAGAGCGTCCGCCCGGAGAGCGGAAGGTCCAGGGTTCGATCCCGGGCCGCGTCATACAAAAAGACGTTAAAAGATGGTACTTATTGTTACCCTGTCTGGCGCTCGGCATTAAGGGGCTAAAACAAGGACTGGTCGGCTCGGAGTCAGTATACTGTGTCTGAGTGGGGTATTCATGTTAAACTGCGGCATGGTATCTCAGTGAGCTAGCACTATAAATCGGCATCAGTCCGGACTAGTACAAGCAGCCACACACACACATACACGTGCATGCACGTCGCTATATAAGTGCAATAATCTTGGACGCGACGTTAAACCCAATTTCACCTCACCTCACCTGTATCTTGAGCATATACTATCCTATCAAAGCTCTCCCTACACTGGTGAAAGGCTTGAACAGGCCGGAGTGGAAAGGTCACTGATCTCGGCAAGTCCCCCACATGTCCAGTCAATGTGTGTTTTCTAATGTTTGGACTGATTGAAGAATGATTATTTTTCAGCTCGGTGGCAATAGCCCAACATGACCTGCCAGTTTCGCGCCTGCCATTGATTTGCCATCTTTGATTTCCTGGGTTAGTACGCCTAGGCGCTTCAGTTACGGTCATTACAAAGAGACTTTCAAAATGGTAGAAATTTATTCAACATTAATAGCAGTAAAGACGCATTAACGTTCTGTCACCAAACATGAATGTCTCTATAGAGACCCCTTAGGTTTGCACACGGCTCGAATAAACGCACCAACGAGGTTGGTCAGTTTAGGTCGCTACCATTCTACAGACAGAAAATCTCTACATTGAAAATGAACTCGCAATAACACTTCAAATTTGGCGGTGCGATACTTTTGACGAGGTGTATATACTTCAATAAGTATAATAAATTTGTTTGACAGACGCCTGTTCACCAAGATGTAGGCAGAGGTAAGATCACTGGCACTGACTTTCTGTCTTGCATCGTGTGACCCGGCAGCATAAACCAGCAGTGCCTGTCTACGCGGATTCCTGACATATTCTATTGTTTTGATCTACCTTAATTGCAAATGCCGTCCAGCAAGCAGACACGCCTTCAGGTGAAGGTACGAGGATTGTTAAGCTTACTCTTCTTGGCTACCATATCCTTCAACGCCGAGATTCTGGTTATGTGACTATTACAGAGTGACATAATAAAATCTTAATAATTCTGTTTTTTAAAGAACGTTTGTACAATTTGATAATTCTGTTGTTTTTTAAGACGCTTCTGTACAATTCAATAATTCTGTTTTCTATAGAACCTCTGTACACAATTTAATAATTCTGTTGTTTTTTTATAGAACGTCTGTACAATTTAATAATTCTGTTTTTTATAGAACGTCTGTACAACTTAACTTGTATAATATGAATCACGTACAGGTAAGGGTTGTAAAGAATTGGTTGTTGGCAAATCCACTACCTTACCCTCGTGTTGCAACCTAAGAATCATTGCACTATTTTCCCGAGATAATGACACGCATTGAACGCCATTGAATTAACATTGTTATGCCATCCGAAAAAGACGCATTAGCAATTAAGGACTATCTACATTTAAAGGAAAAATCTGATGGTAAACTATGGAACTTGATGGAATGGCACATTTAAGACATAACTTTAAATTTGAAACAACTTAACATATCAAACTCAACATATCAAAATTTAGAAAATATCTGATCCGAGGGGTGGCTGGAAAGTTCCAAGCCTAAATATGACGGACTGCTTTGATGGAGTGGGTTGCTGATTGCGTTTCAACATAATCACCTCCGAGGTTAACACACTTGTGCCAATGATGCTGGAGTGCCTGGATCTGACTGGTGTAGACGGCTGCCAAGGATGGTGTAAGAAAAACGTCCGTCATCATCGTTCGCATAATGCTTGCCGGACACTTCTTTCTTCAAATGGGCAAGAGGAGGACATCTGACGGTGCCAAGTCGGATGAATACGGCGGATGTTCAATGAGTTAACAATCATGCATTGCAGCCAGGGTGACAGCAGACTTGTGCATTGGTGCAGCGTCCTGGTTGAACCACACACCTTTAATAAGTTTCCACGACGTTTAGACACTCTCACGCAGATGGGGACGGTCGGGTAGCCTAGTGGTTAAAGCGTTCGCTCGTCACGCCGAAGACCCGGGTTCGATTCCCGACATGGGTACAATGTGTGAAGCCCATTTCTGGTGTCCCCCGCCGTGATATTGCTGGAATATTGCTAAAAGGGGCGTTAAACCAAAATCACTCACTCACTCACTCTCACGCAGATGACATTAGTATAATAATGGGCATTACAGGTTTGACTTTTCGGAGGTAGTCCACCGGCAGGATTCCTTAGGATCCCGAAAACCAAAGCCATCAACTCACCAGCTGATGGAACAGACTTGGCCTTTCTTCTACTGAGGAGACGTTGGGTGTTTCTACTGTTCGTTTAGCCCCAGGCTGATTGTGGTGAACCCAAGACTCATCCATGATGTCAAATCACTCAAAAAATATTCAGCAGGTTCTGCTTCAAAACGACGAACATCTCACGAGAGATGATGATCCTGGAGCGTTTCTGATCAGGGTCCACTTGCACAAAGCGATCTTAGCGCTAAGACTATTGTAAGCCTATGTTAAAGTATGGGAGTTACGATCATCTTAGCGCTAAGATCGCTTTGTGCAAGTGGGCCCAGGAGTCAGAAGCCATGAGCCAAGCCTATTGACCATGTGACGTGTGGTGAGTCGTTGACCGTCCATAAACATCTCATGTAGTTTCTTAACATTTTCCTCTTAGTGGTGGCTCCCAGACCTTGGATCATCTTCGAGCCCCTCCCCATCGTGAACTCCGGTGTCCACCTCTTAACAGTGACACAGGAAGGACTTTTGTCGCCTAAAGTACACACCATATCCGCACGGCTGCAGCTGGCTGTTGGACTTGGCGCTTTCACAGTTAGAGATAGTTGATGACAGCGCGGTAGC